CCACACCGTCTGCGTTAGCCTTGGTACCTATGGTGACGCTGTGGACCATGCTTGGTTGCTGGGTGATGTTTGATGACAGACGTTTGGGAGTGATGAAGGTGGTGACGAAGTCCTTTGGTCAGTTGACCGCCACACCGTCTGCGTTAGCCTTGGTACCTATGGTGACGCTGTGGACCATGCTTGGTTGCTGGGTGATGTTTGATGACAGACGTTTGGGAGTGATGAAGGTGGTGACGAAGTCCTTTGGTCCGTACAGATTTTCTCGGTCTAGGTACTCCAGGTATACCCTCTTGACCAGCTGAAACAACAGAGTCATACTTTCAGGCACTACTACAAATGCTACAGTAGAACTGAGTTATCTAGAACATAGGGGAGGGTGAGTATTTCTCTGTATTTAGTTCTCAACCGACATGTACCTAATCGTTTTCCATACAAAACATAGATGACTTGATCTTTTTGTGGATTGCAAAACAATAATGTAATTTGAGAATCAACCAAATTTCTAATAAAGAAAACACAATTGAATAATCATCCCCTACCTTGAGGATGTAACAGAGAAACCTCCAACCCTCGGGGTGATTTTCTTTGGTTGAAAACCAAAAAACATCGCCCCTCAGGTTGGAGATTTCTCTGTCAGACCCTCAAGGTAGGTGAAGTTTCTATTAGTCTCAGTAATTGCATTAGGTGGTAGTTTTTTATCACAACTTTATGATACCGATTTTCCAAATTCAGGATATTTTTTTACCTACTGACAAGAATAGTAATGTGTAAGAAAAGAACAAGCGAGATTTCTGATTTCTGGCAGCAATCCTATCTATGTACTACATGTACTACATGTATTGGGGAAAATCTACATGTATACAATGTCTGCATGTGTAACCTACCTTGATTCCCCTGGGATGGCCGAGATTGTCCTCTGATTGAGTCTGAAACAAACATTTTATAATGAAGCATTTCCTTATAAAACAATGACTCAATACATTTTAGTGTTTTTGTATATGAAATTCACACACAAAGTCTGAAATGGAATAGTAAACATTTTTAACTTAGAGCTATCCAACAATTAATGGTGTTGGAGGTGTGGGAGACATCTGTATTGGTATAAGTTGCACGGTTAAATCCAGATCTACCTACCACCCCTTATATGAATTCAGTTTCCATTGGTTGGAACTCTAAAAACTGCTTCCCACTTGACTCCCTCCAAATTAAATGTGTCAATGGGTTATAAAATATCTTGTACACAATTTTCACACTTCAAAAGTAGCGATGCATTTTATCTTTTGAACTTTGACGGTGCCTACCAAAATTTAATCAGCTGTGGAATTTAATATCACAGCACTATGACGTAAATGTCAAATAAATCTGTTGAGGGTTTCAGGAGACATCTTGTACTCAAGCTCGGACTCATGGACTCAATCCTGCACAGATAAACTGATCATTATATCCACCCGCCCCCCCCCCCCCCCAAAAAATGTGGGATACCAAACAAAACCCAGACCTGCCATTCAAATCCAGCAGCACAAATCTAGTGAAAGTGCATATCGATGAAATAACAGTACAAAGGGGATATATTATTTCCAGACCTGTGTCAGAAAGCGAAGAGTGAAACCCATCAAGCCGGGGTGCATGTACAACACAAATCTGTTCTCCACCACCGGTAGTGACGGGTGGATCTCCCTGGGGTCAAAGTTAAAGAACTTGCTGCTCTCGTTCTTGTTGGCCAGATTCCCCTTCCACAGGGCATCACCTGCATCCAGGATGAGGGCATTCAACTGGGAAACACTACAGATGGTGTCCGTCTCGAACAGCTCACCAGTGAACCGCCGTTCCTTCACTGATGCCACGGCTCTCTTGTAGCTGAAGGCCAAGAATACATATATAATACTTTCAGGTTATCATAAAACCACATGAAAAGTCAGAACTCTTCCAATTGTACACATACAGGTCAGGCTATACATTTAGGTGCATAATCAAAACGTCAGCATTCTGATAGAAAACATGCACATAAACTTGCAAACTTGTCCGAGCTATATTAGTATGCAATATGTGTACTAAGTTTGAGTTAAATCAACCCAAGGGAACTCAAGTTATCGCACGGAAACCTTGTTTCGGACGACGCCCAAAAAGTAATACCTATATGTCGCCTCGCGTTGCAGCAGGCGACACAAAATTTGGCTCAACGGAACTCCAGCTATAAGCCAAAATGTCTGCACTGCTTTAAAGTTAGTTATACAATTTAATTTAAATGCCTATATCATCACTATCTAAAGTATGAACAAAACAGGCCTATAAGAACACCATATATAGCCTGGTGTCTCAGCCAAACGCTGGGCTACATATTGTCAAATCCACCCATATATAGCCTTGTGTCTGAGCCAAACGCTGGGCTTCACATTGTCAAATCCACCCATATATAGCCTTGTGTCTCAGCCAAACGCTGGGCTTCACATTGTCAAATCCACCCATATATAGTTATTAACAAAAGAAGTCAGGTTTGTTAGTTTTTAGAAAAGTGTTGCACAAGTTCAAGACAAAAGATGAGGAAACGGGGTGAAAACCTTTCTAATAAGGATAAAGGTAACTGTATTTATATGATTGCAAGTGAGAAAACTGATAAATAGTCTGAACTACTAACATGGCATGTTGTCCTGTCCTGACACATACACAAAATAAATTTTCCCCCAGGCCCCCTAGTCAATAGAATTAAGAAAAGTATGGGACTTACTTGCATAATGTGGAGCAAACACTGGATATTCCCATGCCGTTTAAACAGGTGAAGGGCACTACGAAGGCTGAAGACAGGAGGGGGCTGAGATGGACAAACGGCACACGGTAGTTCGTCTCCAGGCACGACACCTACAACAGATAGACTTTGTATTGTTTCAAGTAAATCACTAGAAATATGTTACTCATCATTTGAGTGTAAGAGGACAAAAGGTCTGATCCTAATAAAACCCATTCCATCTAGAAACCTTTCCCAAGTTTTTGAATGTATTGAGCCACACTAACTATTTTGATTAGTGATCATTGCATTTCTTTTTTCCTCAAAATTGAAAAGGGCTACATATGGAAATTGGTGTCACAGAGATTTTTTTTTGGTCAAATAATGACTTGCTATCTCATAATAACGACATTCCATAGCTATCTCGTAATAACGACATGGTGCTATCCTGTAATAACAACTAACTACGTCGTTTTACAAGATAGTAAGTTTTTATTACGAAATAGCAATAAGTCGTAATTACCAGATAATAAGTTGTAATTATGACAACTTTTTACCATATAATAAGTTGTAATTACGACATTTTTTTTGTCTCAGTAACCCTTACCAGCTATTGTAGCTACATGATACCAGAAACTCTTTTTTATTTTTACTGGAACCAAGGTCCGTAGGAATCGGGAAAATTTTGTTACAGAGTGATGAAAATTGGGAAAAATTAAAACCAGTCGGGGATTCACACTGTTTATTTCTATTCATAACTGACAAATAAATGTACAGTTAAATACATATTTCATGCATTTCATGCAAATTATTAGTCTGATGTTATAAAGAGGAAATATATATCAAAATTGTATGACTCTTTTTTTCCCCAGATTAAATATACTTTAAAGGTATTTTGAGAAAAACACTGCCTTTTTTCTATTCCCTCTATTGGAAATGAGGCAAAAATTTGATCTCAAATATACTGAAGTACACACCTCCTCAAAGAAGCTGAGAGCACAGAAGAGGAGGAGATTGTGATTGGCCTCTAGCCTAAGGCCAGTGATACACAGCTGACTAATGTAATCCATCAGGTCCGTGATGGTTCCCTGGGGGTCACACTCCTCACGGTCCTCCTGGAACAGTGTGTAGCTGGCAACAGAAACAAATACTTTTATTTAATCTCATTTGAAGCCTGAAAGGATAACATGTATGGGTTAGACTAGAAATGTATGTGTCGGATCTCCAGCTCTCATGCTTAAGAACCAAGGCAAAGTCACTGAGATCAAAGTTACAACAAGCCATTCAAATTGATATTGATATGCCCTGCTTTGACCATCATGACCAGATACTGACAAAGTCAATGGACGGTGAAAGGTAGGCCGAAACCAGCATTTGATGCATGGGTTGAGATGTACTATCTAACATGCATCTATGGTCCAAGTTTGGTTGGTCTAGCATTTATACTTTCAGAGCAACTAACTTTAACGCAAAAACTTAATGTTGACGCCGTCGCTGGAAAAGCAACACCTTCGTGGCGACGAGACAATAATGTTGTGCAACATATTCTAATCACAGTTCAAGGTGCAAAAACATGGTAAGTTGAGTGACCCTAACTGCAGTACTTAGTACATAAACACAAAACCTTAACTGATTGGAGGTTTACACGGACAAGGGTAGCACTATATGCCGCACACCACGCCATGGCATAAAGATGTTGTCAACATTTATGAATAAAAACAAAATCTCCATGTAAACAGATGCCATGGTACAGACAAGAAACCATCACAAGAAACGAGAAACTAGAAACGGACGGACGGGAATCGCCAATCTACAAGCCCTGATTGCTTTGCAATCGGGACAAAAAACAAGTAGAACAAACACACTTCTAATTCATGCTTTAACAAAGCCATAGCTGTCCTGTTTCTGTTACAGAATTGTCTCACGTACACCACACTTCTTGTCCCTTGGGGTTTGTTATAAACATGTTGAATGTATCAGTATTTATCAATGAGGTCAAACTTCTATACAGGGCCTTAAAATGATTGAACTTTTGTCAGCATCAAAATTAGTGTCACATGTTTGCATGTAAAATAGAAGAAAATAACGAGCAGTCAAAGAAAAACCTCAGGAAAGTCATCACTGTTTATAAAAAAATATATTGAACAAACAAAATTAGCGATAACCATCAATATTTAGTAAAACAAGGGAGACAACTTACTGACAGGATGGTTCTCCTGCCTTTCCAGACTTGGCATGTTCTTGCTTTTTTTGCACCCATTCCATGTATCTAGGCCATTCATTGGCCGCAAAGTTCCTCACGAGCAGGGTTAGACAATGAACAACTTGGCACTGAAATTAATAGAAATATCATATGACCTATATAGTGTTTCATATTTTAATTTTGACTTAAAAGTTTGTGTGCAAAATATATGACATGGATCGCAATGAGAAACATGGTAATCGTGTGCTAAAACTGCACTTTGGAGGAAACAGCAGATAAATTTTACAACCAACACAAAAATAAAGAAAATAATCGACATTTACTCACCTTAAAATACACAGATGAACAGCAGAACAGCTTTCTCAAAGGTTCAAGTATATTATCATTCAATTCTGTAAAAAGGGAAAATAAAGAAAGAGATGAAAAATATCAAAATTGATAATTTAGGGACTAGCAAATACAAATGTCTTTAAAGGTGAACTAGATAATATTTAAGGCACATGCCTGTAAACCCTAACTTAAGGATCCCTGTCCCACTACACTTAGGTTTTTCCTATATGTAGTAACCTCCCCTATACTTCCGTTTCGATGTAACTGTAGAACGGTGTCTTTTTTAACACTCAGAACACTGTTGTTGATTATAATTTGTATTTCATCTTTATCATTTCTCATGAAAGTCCTACAAGGTACGGTTTTCTTGTTAAAAATAATTCATCAAAGCCGAAAGTCTTGCCGAAAAAAGTTTCTGATTCTTAGTTACAATGTTTGGCAGTGATACTGGGATCTTTAAAGCAGACAGTTTTGAAAAGAGTGAGATTGGCCTTCCAGAGAGTGAGATTATGACATTGTTGCACTGTGATGTTGTTTTCATTTTTTTTTTTTTTGCCTGGCTACAGACTATAGATCTGATAGTGCTGAAAACTTACTTACGAATATATACACACAACGCTGATGCTTTAACTAAAAACCTATCGGTAATTCTGAATTTTCAGACCCGAGACCTGGCTTCAAACATGCTTCCAAAGCTACAGATCTAACACTAAGCTACAAACTCACCTCCAAATGTACAAATCTTACACTTAGCTACAAACTCACCTCCAAATGTACAAATCTTACACTAAGCTACAAACTTACCTCCAAATGTACAAATCTTACACTAAGCTACAAACTTACCTCCAAATGTACAAATCTTACACTAAGCTACAAACTCACCTCCAAATGTACAAATCTTACACTTAGCTACAAACTCAGCTCCAAATGTACAAATCCGACACTTAGCTACAAACTCTCCTCCAAATGTACAAATCCGACACTTAGCTACAAACTCTCCTCCAAATGTACAAATCCGACACTTAGCTACAAACTCACCTCCAAATGTCCAAATCCGACACTTAGCTACAAACTCACCTCCAAATGTACAAATCTTACACTAAGCTACAAACTTACCTCCAAATGTACAAATCTTACACTAAGCTACAAACTCACCTCCAAATGTACAAATCTTACACTTAGCTACAAACTCACCTCCAAATGTACAAATCCGACACTTAGCTACAAACTCACCTCCAAATGTACAAATCCGACACCTGGCTACCAGCTGTAGGATTTCTGATCGGAAGTCCAAACCATTCCATGTACTGAGAAACCTGGACAGGAAGTGATCCACTGCAGGGAGGCCTTCCTATTGATATAAAAAAAACTTATTTAATTTCAAAGCAAACACAGACCAAAATAAACTTTTCTCATGTTGTATACCTTATATTATAATTAATTGTTTTGAACCCAAAAACCAAAACAAAATGTTAATATAGGAAATGTGTCGTGAAATATTCAATTTTTTATTTGACAAGCTTAACAGGTTTAACAAATTCTCATTTTGTTGTACCTCTTGTTCTATTGCAAAATAAAACTCAAACCAAAATATTGAAAATAAAAAAAACATACCCTGATATTTTTTTGTACAACCAAACACCATCTTAAATATATAAAATGTGTGAGACCAGACAAGTTTTCAAAATCAACATATATACAAAATAATCTATAAAGGAGAGGTTCGCCCAGCGACATATTACATATATAATCCTTCCCCAGTAAATTCAATTTTACTCCGTATTAACCTTGCTCTTTATGGTGGAAATACTATGTAAACTGTGTACTTGTATTTATCATCATGGTGAGTTTGCCCTTAATATTGCAGACAAAACTATGGTGAACATTTCTCGTATTTCATATATGCCAGAGGACCAAACAAGTAAATAAATAAATAAATGAATATTAAACATTTGATAAAGTGCCCTATCTAGCTATACACATAAGCCACTCTAAAGCGATTTACAGCACAAAGATATACAATTTATACAAGAAATACAAACTACTGTTTGATAAATAGGGTATTCAAGACATACAAGTTATTAAAGTTTAATTCCATCTAATTGTAATGTTCACTGTAGGAGTATTATCAGCTGAGAAACAATTGATATGCATCAATAAGAAGTGATTACTTGGAGGAAGTCTGTGAAATCTATCAGTTTGACGAGTAAGGCTTTGGTGATCTCTGTGTCGACAGCATTCCAGCTGTTGTCAAGTATCTCTGAAACACAAGAAACAGACAGCATTGAGTAAAGGTTTTACAGCAGGGCTATATTTTGATGTAATTGACCTGTGTGACATGTTGATATCAAGGTTTAAAATAGTAGTCTTAACATGATAACTTGCTATATTTGTTTAATATTTTTCATTACATTTGAGGAAAGATATTTTCGCGATAATAATTCGGAAATATAATGCATTTTGAAAATAAAATAAAACCTGTGTAGACCTCCATAGAAGGGCAGCATCATGGAGGGAGGATTAGTCAGGGGACATAATATCAGTGATATTTTCCATCAGAGGGCAGTATTTTATGGGAAGTGACAATATCAGAGTGATACAACTTTAAAAAGTCTTCTTTTTTTTTTACACACAGGAACAATCAGTCGGTTTTACAATGATGGAGAAGATCTAGAAAGCCTACCATCAGTGAGTTTGGCTAGTAAATATAACCAGATATCAACAGAGCTACATTTTCATGTAATTGACCTGTTCGACATGTTGATTTCAAGGTTTACATGACAAGTTGCTACATTTATTTAATTTTTTAATGACATTTCAGGGAAGATATTTTTTGCCAGTAAAAATAAAGGCTGTATTTTGAAAATAGGTGTAATGTGTAATCAGCACCTTGAGACAACATCAGAGAGCTCAAACAATGAAGTCTTGTTTTACACAGGAACAATCAGTCATTTATACCAGAAGTGAGATGACACCCTACCATCTGTCAGTGTGGCTTGTAACCAGTAGGAGAATCGCGTGGTGGCGGTCTGGTCACGGGTGTAAGACATCATATGTTGGCCAAGTTGACTCCGCAGTACTGATCCTATCTGACTGGGGAACTGACAACAAAGGCATGGAGCTTATAACAACTATGCATAGAGAACTACAGACAACATAAACAATGTACTTATTTTTAAAGTCTTAATCAACAAAACATAGGAATACACTGTTATTTTGTCACCAAATGCCATCACTTTAGTTATTTTTAAGAAAGGTGTATTACAAGTAGCTCTGTTTTGACTGACTTGTCCAGATTAGTCACTTAAACTCCAATGCCCTAAACGAAACCATCGGGGATGTCCTGATACAGCTCAAATTAGAAACAAGATTTCCCAGAGGCACCCACCATCATAAGACCTTCATTAGTTCTACGTAAGCTTTTTTTCTGATATCTTGGATTTATAGTCTTATCAACATTAAATGCATCCGAGAGTTTTCTTTCAAAGTGAGGTCATTGTTTGTTTTTTGAGAAATAGCGATAGTGAACTTGTTTTTCTCCAATCAGTTTCAACTCTCAAAATCCAAAATGGCTGCATAGCGGTCAATTCGTTTTCCCCCCAAATTAGTCTCAATATCAAACATATAAAATTATGGACAAAGTGGAATCTACATATGTAATTTGTGAAAGACCTGTCAAGTACTTCTTGAGGAATAGCGATAACAAGAATTTCTCGAGCAATGATTTCTTCAGTGTTGTATGATAAACCGAATCTTATACGTACTCATGAGTATATGATTTGAATTTGATCAAATCTGTGAAAAGGTACACAATTTTTAATATACAGTTTGTTCAACAAATATTATTTTAGATCAAAAGTTTCCCCCAAGACCTTCCATTATTTAAGGAGTAGCTTCAGTCAAGCTTACCTCAATTCGCTCAACGTTTTCCAGAATACACTTAAAGTCAGTGATCTGTACAAAGGGCACCTTGTTGTTTTCTAATGCAGTGAGGATCTCCTCCTTTGGTGTGTTGGTTTCTCTGGTGGTGTCGGAGTGGATTGTGGGTACTGGGTCTGTTTTCCGTCGTTTGGTTCTCTGAATTTATATACAATGAGTTAAGGTTTGTCCTTTGTGGGCTTAGGAGAGATGAGGTTTGTTTTTTTGTAAATTTACAAAGGGGAGATGTTAAGATCTCTGTATATAAGGAAGCTGACAATTATCGTTAATACATGTGCTTTTTTTTTACCTTATTCTGTAAACTTTCACATGCTTTACATAAAATATATAGCAGGTATAAAGTTTCTGTAGGTATATGATAGCAGGCATTATATTGGAAGCAGCTTATTCTTAACATTCAATGCTTGTCCAATTCTCCATTAAAAATAAACTTAATACTTTTGGTCTGTTCATGAGTTGAGTAGATAACTTACAGGCATTTGTCTGCTATTCTGTACAGACTTGAGTTGAGTAGATAACTTACAGGTGTCTGTCTGCTATTCTGTATAGACTTGAGTTGAGTAGATAACTTACAGGCATCTGTATGCTATTCTCTATAGACTTGAGTTGAGTAGATAACTTACAGGCATCTGTCTGCTATTCTATACAGACATGAGTTGAGTAGATAACTTACAGGTGTCTGTCTGCTATTCTATACAGACTTGAGTTGAGTAGATAACTTACAGGCATCTGTATGCTATTCTCTATAGACTTGAGTTGAGTAGATAACTTACAGGCATCTGTCTGCTATTCTATACAGACATGAGTTGAGTAGATAACTTACAGGTGTCTGTCTGCTATTCTATACAGACTTGAGTTGAGTAGATAACTTACAGGCGTCTGTCTGCTGTTCTCTATACAGACTTGAGGTGAGTAGATAACTTACAGGCGTCTGTCTGCCATTCAATACAGACTTGAGTTGAATAGATAACTTACAGGCATCTGTCTGCTGTTCTCTATAGACTTGAGTTGAGTAGATAACTTACAGGTGACTGTTTGCCATTCTATACAGACTTGAGTTGAGTAGATAACTTACAGGCGTCTGTCTGCTGTTCTCTATAGACTTGAGCTGAGTAGATAACTTACAGGTGACTTTTTGCCATTCTATACAGACTTGAGCTGAGTAGATAACTTACAGGCGTCTGTCTGCTGTTCTCTATAGACTTGAGGTGACTGAGAGCCAGAGTGGATTCACAATTGGTCGGTTCATTGTTCTCTTGGACCTTTCGTATCAACATCTCCCACTGTTTGTCTCGTGAGGGGAAGAACAGCTGCAACACCAGACAACATCAGCTTAACTTGCAAAAGATGCAGATTTGAAGAAATATAACTGGTACAATCAACTTCAAACAGGTTGAAGATATTGTTATTAGATTGATAATAATTAACAGAGGACCCCATATCAACAGGAATTGTCATTTAAAGCTTTTAGGAGTGTAAGGTTAACCTTGACTAATAGTCCACGGGTAAGGACAGGCAGCCAAGTTATATGATTATTGTCATTGCCATGATTTTGCTGCCAGTCAAAATAAGTTTTTTGTGGTAATGACTAAAGATTGGTTTCTACTTACATTTGGCAATATTTCATTCTTTGAAAGATATAGTGTTTTCTTAAATCAAGTATCATAGATCTGGAATTTGTAATAAAAACTACCCACTTTGGGTACTAAATTTCTGAAAAAAAAAGTGCGCAAATTACATGGGTTTTTACAGTACAAGTGAAAGGAAATTAGCAGAATAATTAGAGTATAAACTATGATGATAATTTGTTAAGAAATGAAGACAATAAAGTGATGACAATGGATTGGGACAGGAATACAGAAAATCAGTGGTAACCAATCTATTAGCATTTGAACAAAACTCAGAAACAAAGTAGACCATCAGTAAATCATCCTGGTAGGTGTAAATGCATACTAACCCTTGACCTCTTGGGCATCACTACAGACATCATGTGTGGGTAGTAGAGCTGGTATATCGCCAGGAGTCCTGTCAGGTATGGCTGTGCCCCCTATATAGATCATGTATCAATATTATCATATATCAGTAAGGTATAGGTATGGCTGTGCCCTCTACATAGATTATATATCAATATTATCATATATCAGTAAGGTATGGCTGTGCCCTCTATACATAGATTATATATCAATATTATTATATATCAGTAAGGTATGGCTGTGCCCTCTACATAGATCATGTATCAATATTATTATATATCAGTAAGGTATGGCTGTGCCTTCTACATAGATCATGTCTCAATATTATTATATATCAGTAATATTTTTCATCATACATTTCACAATGCCTGTATATTATGCATTTGGCAATTTTTTTTCTAATGATCATATTATTATTAGTTGTAGTTACCAGGTAGTTTGAACAATGGTACACATTTGTTAAAAAGTCATTGATCCATAGTTATTGTCTGACATACTCTTACCATCTTGTTCTGTATCATGAGGAGACGGCGGACACGAAACAATCGTACATCTTCCTTCTGAGTCAACAGGTAGAGTAGGTGACACACATATGGCATCTATAATGTATTATAATAGTTATAACAGCTGTAGAATATCCATGTATTGTGTACAGGTCACTGTGCAGTGAAGTTTGCAGAGTGCATTCATGAACATATGGAGATATTTATACATATTGATGTTTTGCACACCAAATTATTTATTTCCGAGCAAGTTGGTATCCGATATCTTTATGTCATGATCTGCACATGGGCAGATCAATTAAGAAAAGATATTTAAGGAAAGACCCTTGTTGCACAAATAGCAATATGATCTATGAATTTTAGTTTAAATTTTACATGATATCAGTATACATCTGTACCTGTAATACACAAGTCTACATCTAGTTTTATCACATAATGATCTGTTATCCAGTGAATATACCAATGTCATATATTTTTGTATGTAATTGACAAGCTATAGCTATCAGCCCTGTGATTTGTTGTAAGTTCAAATTGGACAATTCCAATCTAGGACAAGTACATGAAGTCACGGCAGGCTATTAGCCAGCCACCTGTCCACCTGTCTTTTTGACAGGCAGTTTTCTGAAAGGGACCTTTTTTGACAGGCAACTTTCCGCTATATAACCTTACTATTATACATTTGTATATCAATTTCGACAGGCAGTTTTGTAAAATTAGTTATAATATCAACGTTTTGAACTGGGACATTGGAAATCCTGGCTAAAAGCCTGCTTCACAGACTTACGCACTGGAGTCAAAATGGCGGCTTTTTACACTTCAAGGTTGCATCAAATTTGTCGTTTTACACAAATAATGCCACAAATCTTGATTATGTGAAAAAAATGATCTTACACTCATTTTCATTTCATATGAAATTGGTCATGACTTTTTCATTTCAGCTCCCCTAAATTGAACTAGAAAATGTCTGCAAGACAAGAATACCCCCAATCACCATGTGAAATTAGCTTCAGTGTTTGATGTTCTATAAATAGTTACAACTACTTTGATCACGGGACGGCATGGGTAACACTATATGTGTTCCCCCCTTATGGCAGGGGGGACAAACAAATTTTTAGACTCGTTTCATAAATCTCATGAAATTGAAACTCGTCTAAGATCCTATATATCTAAGGACTCTGAGGTAGAATATAACATCTTTCATTATCTATATTTTACCATACATCTGTAGTACACCTACCATGGTCTGGTTTTCCAGGAAGTAGAATATTATACCATACAGCTTGTGCAGGTTCTCTTTCTTGTCTATGTAGTCATACACAACCAAAATCCATCGCAGGAAAAATGTCTGCAAAAGTTTACATTGGTTTTTAGATACAAATTAATAATTAATAACAGCATTTCTAACAAAATATTTTACAAATATTATAGGAAGAAGGATAATGGTTGAAAATATTTATGTCCACAGAGATGACAAATATTAGTGCATTATTTCAAGAACTACGTGAATAACCTTTTTTGTGTCTTAGAAACACACTTAATCATTTTTTTGTTATTTTTAAAAGAAAGTCTCTGGGACCCAATGAGGGTATATTCATATCATTCGTTATGTTGATAAATAAATCCAATTCAATTTTACTATTAGCAAGGTCGTTTTCTCCTATGAGATATTGTTTGATTTCCAAAAGGTTGTGTTTTATAAAAGGCTAAAATAATTAAGTGTTTAGTAATTTTTTGCCTAGCTATAGGTGGCTAGTTTAAAGATTATTTTACCCAAATTTACAAAATGATACCCATTCTCCGAAATCAAAGACTGACCACTGATTTAGGGTTTTTACACTAACCAGTCTTACTTGGTAGTCCACAGTATGAGTTGAATAGATTAATTCGCAAGTCCAAATGACCAGTTAAGTTTGGTGATTTACTAGTCCTTGCAGAAATCCACTAGCCTCGGACTAGAGGACTGGTGTTATTGTCAAACCCTGCAGTGCTACACTGTACCAGGTAATACAAAAGGATGTGAGTAACTTAAGTGAATTTTGTTTCATTGTTTGTGTTTTACGTCCTATTAACAGCTATGGTCATTTAAGGATGTGCCAAGTTTTTGTGGTGGAGGAAAGCCGGAATTCTCAGAGGAAAACCACCAACCTACGGTCAGTACCTGGTGACTGCCCATGCAGGCCTCAAACTCGTGACCCAGTGGTGGAGGGCTAGTGGTAGCAGAATGTCAGATGCCTTAACCACTTGGCCACTGCGGCCGCCCAGTCAGTTAAGTAACAGCACTAGGAGTAATACAGAAGAGTGATCACCTGTATCCTGATGGAGGGTTTATTTGTACACATGTGTGAGATGGCATTTATCACCGCCTGTTCTGGTACCACTGTGGAGGGAGTCAGCGCACGAATCAGTCGCGCACCTACAGAGTCCGCTGAAAATCAAATAACACAAAAAAAAAGTCAGATAACAGTAGAAGATAATGCAAAGTTGAGGTTGTTTTTTTTTAATTGGAAATACCTAGAAATGCATGTTAAGAGTAAAGTTTCAATATGATTAAAACACAAATCATCATTACTTTGGTAAGATTTTTTCTTAAGTTATGATGTGTTGTATTTTTGTTTTGTTTTGTTTTTTCAGTGTTTGGGAACCACTAAATGTAAAAACTAAAAATTATCAAGTAATAGGCAATTTAACAGGAAACGCACTGTCAAAGAAAACTTCATATGTTTCAAACAGAGTCAAACAAAGTGTGATACAGATGTGCTTATGATAAATTATGTTTCATTAAAAAAACACTTTTTATACCTTTTCTTTTAAACTTGAGATCTTACTTCCCAAAATGAATGTCTTTTCTGTTTGAAAACCCCCCCCCCAAAAAACCCAATTGTTTTGAAAAACATTTTATGAAAAGATAATTGATCTAAAGTTGGAAAATAGTCAGCAAGTAGTCTGATTGCCACTAATTGAATTTATTAAAGGGCAAAGAATGTTTACACCAGTTACCATTTACAATTACAAAAGTATAGGCTCAAACATTTTCTTCAGAAAACTGCTACAAATACCAAAAGATTCAAAGTCTATTATGGTTTCCAACTGGCAGCATCAATAAAAGCTTACGGATATTGGTGTTGGCTGCAGCGTCTACCAGGTCTGTGATGTACTCAGCAGGCAGTCCCTTGGTCTTAGACGTCTCCTCCAAAAGCTCCAGAGCTGTCTGCAGATTGATGTTGTTTTTAACCTTGACACGCTCTTTCACTGTTGTTACAAAATAAATCAAAATATGAAATCAATTTGAAGAAAAGAGTACTATTGGGGAAGTGCAATATGTGTTTTCCATGCTGTATGTGTAGCATCCACTTAGACCAATTTTATACCAAATACATATACTTGAAATCCTTCTGATGCATGTACGCTTGTAAAACTAAGACATTGTCTGAAAAACTGAAACATAATTCACTGTACTATTTAGTAAAGTTGAATTATTTCTAGGATGTGGTGAAGGGGGGAAACATATTACACTTAATTTCACTAGCTGAGGTTTCAGTACCTCAAGCAATGATGTATTGGTACTTTGGCTAGGAAACAATTTTATGGAAAACATCACAAATAACACAACACAATACACAGATCTTGCTGAGCCAAATTGTGTGCAGGCAAATGTGGCTGTATATAAGCAGACCTGGCTATATATAAATCAAATTTGACAAATGTAGACAAACAAGTCATATGTGGTCGCAATAATATTATGCAAATCGAAAAAAATGGATGAACAATGCGAGTCAGTGAAACTAAAGATTTTTCCGGGATGCTTTTCTTTGAAAGAATATTTAAACCACATTGAATGGACACACACACTGTACTTTGTTGCTGATAATATAAGACATGTGTGTTGATATAAAAAAAGTAAACAATGGAATTTAAACAAGTCAATGGGACTCAATTTGTTGTTGAGTGATAAGACAATTGATTTCATTCGTCTTAAAGACATTTTTCCAATATTCATGAGGTTGATATCATGCTCGAGTGAAGACTCTCCAGTCCTACTCTAATATTTTATTTCATATTTTAATTTTTGAATCATTGATTTCCTGAACTTTACCAGCCAGTGAGACTGAGGTGTTTGCTTGTGCATTACTTCAACCTCAATTATGAGTATAGGAAAAGTAACTGAGAAAATGTTGAAAGTCAGAAAGATCAAATTGAAGTGTTTTCATAGAAAAATGAAGATCATGTCTGCAGAAAAAGGAAAATACATTTTGTGTGCTAGGAAAGTTTGTGAAAGATTTTTTTTGACATTAAGAGCTTTCTGCTATTCTCTTATAAACATATCTTTGAAGGCATAATAGCAATTTTACAGAGAGTTGATCTCAACCCTAAGATCATATCTTATATTAGTCCCTAAACATCAGGATAGCTCCAAACAAACAAATCGTACCCAATTCTCTAATCTCTGTGATTTGATCTGATAAAGGAGGGAGGGACTCAAAAAAGTATGACTCATATTTTCTTTGGAAGTGGGAATCAAGGGATTATAATTAAAACACAATCACCAATTCTATATAACACTATCAACGTCCCACATTTTTTCCAAATCAATGTAAATAAATAATTACGCGATGCTACACTACATGTACATCACCCACGAATATTCATATTTTTTATTTTTCGGATTTTTCTTGAGCAGAGATGAGAAATATGTCTCAATTAAGTGCTGTCGGGGGACAGTCTGTAACTGTCAGAACACCACTAACTCTGTCTATCGCCCATCAACAATTTAACTATTGTTATCCCCTGTGTATCTTTTATGCTCTCTAGATCTCTCATGACAGCTTCTTGTTTGTTTGTGTGGTTTTAAGTCCGCTTAACTAACGAGTAGTTCAGTTATCCAGCTGACAACGAAATGTTAGGATAGCGAGTAGGAGGGATAGAGTATGTGGTGAATAGAGAGAAAATCATGACAGAATCTTCAACTTGTTTACCTAAAAGTAAAAATGACAGGCAATTTGGGTACCGAAACATCTTATCAAAGATTGTAACATCCGTGTGGGGAATTGGGACTTAAACTTATCACCACTTGAAAGCACATATCGAATATGTATACCATTTTTGAAATAAAGAACAGCATTGTCCAGATTATTCGACGAACTTCGTCTTTTTCTGCTTTCTCTTCTGGTCTGTTTATTTTTCGCGCTGTCCATTTTGGAAAAGTCAGCGTAAGTGAAATTCACCGGCGTTTGCCTTGAAAACAAACGCACATGCGATTGTGATTTTGAACCTGTTCAGGGTAGATAACTCTGATTTTTTTCCCAAATTCCCTGTCAACATGTACACAAACGCGAGGAAAGCTACAGCATGATATTGAAATTGACGAGTGCACGATATACAATACTTGAACTCTGATTGAAGGGTTTGCTCCCATTACATGTAATTACTATGGCTGCAGGTTCGTGAAGAAATTTTCGTATTTTTTAATTATTTCAAACCACAGGTGCTGGACACTGAATGATGTGTAGTATATTATACTAACAGTGACTAATACTGACTATTATACTGTTATATAGTATATATATACACATCATATTATTACTATTAGCGTGTCCAGCACCTGTGGTTCAAATCATATGTACTGTTAGGAATCTGATATTCACAGTAGCGTTGCTAAAAACAGTTGACTATAAATAAACAAATAAAAAATAAGAGAAAATGCCTTAAAATAACCAATCGCTAAATCAGAGTTATTTTCTATAACTATTTTTAAATAAGGCCCCATGAATAGACTAGTATGCTTTTTTTTATCTTACTATCTTTTCTATCATTCCTATCTTCAAACACAAAATCATCTTTTTCATTGGTGTTAACCTGTTAACTATAAATGCATTTATTTCAATTTAACTGATGTGCTAAACCACTAAACGTGTTATCTTCATTGTTAATGAAGTATTTATTGATAGGTGATATTTTCACCGTAAATACAACTACTCTTAATTTTCTTTCAATCTTTATACTCTTAGTTGTCATCGTGTTTTCAAATATTGTCTGAATTAAAAGATCCCCGTACCACTGCCAAAAACTGCAACTATGCTCTGGAATGTTTTACTGACATGACTACAGCTTTGATAAGTCATTCTTAATTAAAAAGAAAAATATATCTTATTGGGCTTTTATGAAAAAAATAATAAAGGAGAAGTTTATAAACAGATAATCAACAACAAGATGTTTTGTCAGTAATTATTCTTACTTTTCTTCCTGATATATGAGTCATTTACAGCTTGAGTGTAATTGATCCAGCAGGGCTAGATTGGGATTTGAACACTGGACCTAATAGTTTGTTAGCTGTCATTCTAAGCGACAGCTACCTGGTAGAACTGCTCTGCAGTAATATCCAAACAAAATTAAGGGGAGGTTACTGGTATATGTACAAAAATAACCAAAAACATTGCAGATTTTAGCTTACCTGGAACAAATTGTCTTGTGGTAATATGGTATCTGCTGCCCATTTGTCTATATCAACCTTTAACTTAAACAGCTTCTCAAGAGCTGAAAGACCCGAGGTCATGATATTTGGGTCAATTAAGCTAGAACTGGGATGGTGTGCCATAAAACCCCTCATATGAACAATCTTGACCTTCCATAGTCACCAGTCCAGGGTCAAATAAGTTAACACATAAGTAAAGAACAATCATGTCTAAAGTCATAATACTTGTGTAAATTTTAATACATTGTGTTTAGATCAATCATCAACTTAGGGGCCGACCAGGGTCAAAGGCCTTAGATATGGATTGCTATAAAATTTCCTTATTAAAATGACCTTAGCCTTCTTTCATGGTCACAAGGCTGCAAGGGTCAAATATAAGCTAAAAATTTAAAAGCTTCTTTGTTGTAGGTTGTAAGTTTTATACAGATTATATATATAATTATATACTGTTAATTATGATAGACTGAATGTAATCAAATTTGATCATGAAATGTAGATATAATTGATGCTGTTGATTATTCTTACATCCTTCAAATGCATAAGGCACATTTTCGAAATGTGGTGCTTATACACATGCCGTGGTACAAAATCCATAATGTTTGACAATAACATCAAAATTGGAGGGAGCTAGAATCTTAATCTGGCTCCTTGTTAATGCCTATGACAATTAAGGGCTAGCTCACTTAACAAGGGAATATTTGAAGCTACAATAGTATTTTTGTGGAGAAGGGAAGTACTTGTTGTAGTTGATGTGGACTAGGTCAAATCACTGATAGTGATAACTAATTGGTAAGTGTTAAAACATCTATAACTCATTTGTTAAAGCGTCAGAGGAATCTAGGATCAAAACAAGTCAATGTGACATTATTCAGAGATAAGTCTTTATCCTTACTTTATTGTATAGTGGATGATGATGCGCTTGCCAAGTTTCTGACTCGAGTGGCAGACAAGATGGATGAGGAAGCTGCAAAGCGGGACCAAGGCAAGAAAGAGACTGAAAGTCTTAAACAGGAAGCAGCTGCCATGCTTGACCTTGACCTTGATGAGTTCACATTTGAGGTCGGCACACAATCAGGTCCCCTGGACTTATCTGGTAATGCAGCATCTGGAAATAAGTCAGGATCTACACACCCGAAGGAAAAAAGCGGTAAATACTATAATACAAAGCTAGGATCACTAACATTGACCAGTTAAAACCCCAGAGACTGGATGTTATAATGCAAGGCAGATTTCAAATATATTTACACAGAGACTTGAGGTCGCGATTGGTATTAAGACTGTGGCTGCTATATCTTTTTGATATTTTTTTTAATTCAAGACATTATATATATGTTCTACATTAAAGAGAGGAGTTCTATGAGCCCTTGACCAGTGACCACAATAAAGGTTTTTGTGCAAGTTTTATTTGGGAAAGAAGTCATGACTGAAATTTCAAGAGACACCAACACACATACAAGTTCATTCTTGATTTTACAGAAAATCTTGGCTCTTATATGGTATTCCGTCTTTGCGTATTGCAGAGTTATCTTCTCTTGTGAGCAGGTATTGATTGTTACATCACCTAATCACTAGAGGAACCTGATGTGTGATACGATGTCATGTTTGTGTTCCAGTATGTGTTTCAGTATACCTAATCACTAGAGGAACCTGATATGTGATAATGACATGTTTGTGTTCCAGTATGTGTTTCAGTATACCCTATCACTAGAGGTACCTGATATGTGATACAATGTCATGTTTGTATCCCAGTATGTGTTTCAGTATACCTAATCACTAGAGGAACCTGATATGTGATACAATGTCATGTTTGTGTTCCAGCCGAGTCTTTGGAGGACCTGTTGACGGGACTGAAGAACAGGATCAACACCTCTGACACCTGGCTCACAGAGAACACGGCCAGTAAGTGGCAGACTGAAAACCCAGAGGTGGCTGAACAGTACCTCAAGGCTATGACTCAGGATAGAGAAGAGGAACTTTGATCCCACTGTATACCATCAGGCAGTAATCAAACGCATTGGATGCAAGCGAGAAGGTCTGGTTCGCCTTGATGCTTACAAAAGTGACGGTCACATTGGACCTGTTGATAGACTCAAGTAAAGGATTGTTGATGAAAGCCTATCTAAATGCATATTCTCAGAGTAAGTGTTTAGGACAGTGTTCTGTGCTTATACAATGGTACAAAACATAGTGTTCTATACATCATGGATGAGTTTACCTGAACGTAACATGTGTAGTAAAAAATGGCTGATTTTTATGGGATAAAAGTTTCAGATTGATACAGTATCTGATGTGTTTTATCTGGTATGCGGACCAAATAGTTTTCCAGTGTTTGTTAGTTTGTTATTTAAGACTAATCCTTAATTATGCTGGTACAAGTACAACTTTTAAAGAAACACTTAATTTTCTTCAAAAGCTTTACACATGTACTTTTATTGTTGCTGTCCGATAAAAAGTTCAAATAGAATCTTTTGCTACATGTACTGCCTGAAAGTGTTTGTATTTCTATCATCAAATCCTGTAGACAATATGAGCTTGTCAAATTTGCGGGGCAATATGTTCCTTTATCAAGACACAAAAAACCAATACCACTTGTATTACATAAAACTAAAGAGAAATATAATAGGATGTAACTAATATTCAAAAGTAATAAGATAGCATAGGATTTAGGAAATGATATACCTCAAGACCATGCCTTCATGTATTTACAGCACTCATAGGAGAGGATAGATTTCTTTGTTTTATCCTTACCATCACCCGATAAGAAAAAATCATAATGAAACATTGTCGGAGGGCAACGTTGATAAATTTTCCACTAACTTTAACCCTAGTTGAACATTGAGATGGAAACGTGAGGCCAGGACAAGTACACATATTTTACCTCTGCAGAATCCCTTCAGCCCACACTGTAGTGGAGTATATTCAGTTGATTTAGCAATCATCTTCAGAATAAAATAAATTTTAGATGAAAGAAAATTCAATGGACTTTATTTTATAAATTTTCAGGTCTTTTTAACATACATAAAAAACTTTGATGCCATGTTTTTACTTACAATAAAAAAATCACAAATACATGTTGTTTTCTTAAGTTTTCCTTTGCAACATGATACATGTTTAATTATCTGCCATACAACCAGTATCTATGGAGTTTGGACTTGATTTTTAAGCCATCTGACTCGAATATACTTATGCTGTGGTGTAATATCATTTGACACTGGTCTCAGCATGTCAACTTTTCATTAAAATTCTTCTCAAACAGATCTTTTTCAATCTTGAATTTGGCATGAATGATCCTATTATGGTCCTGACAATTAAGTTGCTTTTCTTTTTGGGCAGAGTGCAAATCGGAGATGACTATGTAAGTCATTAATTTGTTTCAACTACTTAAGTTCTGTCCAGGCAGTTTAAAAACAAGCTGGACTGCCAATGATTCCCCGATAGTTCTATGACCTAGTTAATATTCAGGTCAACCCTAAATCCGAGACAAGGCCACCAATTGGCAGAAATATTTTCGAATTCACCATAATGCACAGGGCAATCTTAACCAAACTTGGAACAAATGAATATCGAAGAACATATTTTAAAAATTGTCTGTAGCACCACAATGATGTTCAGATAATCCTTATGTTATTGAAGAATCATCCCTCAACCCTTTCACCCCTATGCAACTTTAGTAGATTCTACCATGCGTTGATCTGGACGAGTCCATTATGGTCTACAGTGGTGAAAGGGTTAAATCTACCTTGGAAGTATGACAGATATCAGCCCTGGTCAGTAGAGGGACCTCCAGCATACCCTCACTGTAGGGGATGAATCTTTTTCTCTCATCCTATAAGAAAATAAATTATGTTTCAAAACTATAGATATCAGCAATTAGATTCTGTTTTCTTTCCTGATTTGCACATGTACTCCTATTGAAAGCTGATTGTAACTTCATATTTTATTGTTCCTGTGATATTGCCCGTTATTGTTATTTTTAATTGGTTTATGACATCAGGTCGTTGTGCTGTCATATCATCAGTGTAACTGACAAATCTTGAACAAGAGACCCAGAAGGCCTGTATCGCTCCCTTCGATATTCAAGCAATCATGGCAAAAGATTCTCGATGGAAGTAGTATGACAAATAAGACCCCAGGGGTAGGGCCATTCCTGGAAGCACATACGTATCCAAATCTACATGCTCAGCAATTCAATATGTTATAATAGGGTGGGGTTCTCAAAGGTTTCAATGTTATGCCCCAGGGACTAAGTCCCTAAAGGCGTGGCCAGACCCCAGGGTCAATTCTAATACCATGACTATTCCTTTATGCCCAGCAATTGTATATATGACTAAAGGTTGGGGATCTAAAAAGTTGCAAAGTCAAAACCCAGGAACAAGTCCCTAAGGATATGGCCAGGCCCCAGGGTCAATTCAAATGTAATTTATGTGTCTGTCACTTTGTGCCTAGCAATTGTATATAAAGCTATGGGATGGATCTCGACCGACCGTTCAAATGTTAAGACCCAGCAACTTAATCATCATTTGTCTGGTCAGACATGAGGGTCATTCTAGTAGAATGTGTGTTTTTCTCTTTATTACTGAACTCAGCAGTTGTATATATATGTTTGTAGGGTGGGGATCTTAATCATTTCCAAGTTAAAAACACTTTTTGGCCTTGGTAAAATCTGGTCAACCCCTCCATTTCTACAATTTGAATCCCCGCCAAAAAATGCATCAAATCAAATATCCACCACTGAGTTCCAGAAGAAAGCAGTTAACACTTTCACCCCTATGTAACTTTAGTAAACTCTACCATACACTGATCTGGATAAGTCCATTATGGTCTAGTGTTGAAAGGGTTAAAACAATCCAGCCCAATAATAGTGCCCTTTTTGGCCAACTCCTCGGGCCATGGGAGTCGGCCCTTGCATTTGAACAATTTTGTACCACAACCACCTGTGCATGCTTTCATCTAAATATGGGAAAATGTCACTTAACCCTTTCAACCCTGTGTAACTTGAGTGAACTCTACCATGCATTAATCTGGATGAGTCCATTTTGGTCTACAGTAATAAATCAAATTACCTATTTTGACCGCGTACCTTATTCTGCGAGTGGCGAGTGAAAAAACAAAACGCCAGTTATCAGTTCAAGTTTTGTTTTATTTAAATAGTAAATTATAAATATGTAGAGCAATTTACAAGAACAACATTTAACATACAAAACATCTAAACTAATATCATCTCAATCAACTGTTTGGCAATGAAACCATGAATTTCAAAGTAAAAAAAAAAAAAAATATATATAAAAAGACTGGCAGTAGGTGAGAATTTTAGTAAGCAAAATCCTACAGTGTGTATTTTGGTCAACTGGTCATTCTAATGAACCATTTATTCATGTTACAACAGCAGTAATGGAGAACATGAAGCTTACCACTATCAGAAAAAAAGTTCAGTCCAAAACGGGTGAAAAAAATGAAAATAATATATGCCTAAGTAAAACAAGTTTCATTGTAAAATCAGATGATTGAATACCATTCGTAAATCAAACAAATATCCTAGTCTTAATAGTTGCTGTATACATGTACTTCGACTGATTTTCAACAAAAATAATTTGGATAGCTTATGCAAATTTTTAATCTGCTCTTATTTCTAAAAATTCAAACTTAATCAAAGAGTACTAATGTAATATCTATTCAGATGGCAAGCAAAGGAATATGTGCACTATAATAAGAGTGAACTGTTCTAAACAAACACATATATTACTAAACCCATACGTGTAGGCAACCAGAGTTACCACCCCTTACAGACAGGAATTATGGACCTGATCTTTATAAATCATGCAATAAGACAGGAACAGTTATCAAACTCTACAAAAAGTCCCTAATCCTGTCAAAAGAAAAATGAAGATTTGTAAGATATGCAAATTAACTTTTGATTTTTTTTTTATCGGGACACTTTATCCCCAGCTTTTAGAAGTTTTCTACAAATGTATAATTGTGTTGCTTCCTCTTTTAAAGGTAAAATACCTACAAATCCTTTATTGTAACAACCTTGTTATCAAACACACTGGTATAATTACATCAATGAACACTTTATAATATTGCTTAGTAATCAGGTTAATCAATATAATCATGATGACCAATAATGATTGTATAACTGCAGTGATAACGATACATAGTGATGATGCTATCAAGTCTGTGATGATGATGATGTCATAATGACGATGATGTCATAATAATATTGATTTTGATGTTTGGTGAATACTGATTGGAATTAATACAAAGTACAGATTACATTTTTAAACATAACTAATATTAATCATTAGAGATATGAAATGAAATGGGATGTTACAGACCTTCAAGACACAGACAATGAATACATAGTCAAGTAAACAATTTAAACAACTTTTATGAATATTTTCATGCTTTTTGTCTTCATTCATATGACCGTTTTGAATCCTTTTTACATTTAGTTTTTAATTATCATTTTTAATAATTTTGGGAAAAGTGATAGAGAATATCCCTATTTTGTTGTTCAGGGAAGAAAAACAGTTGGATAACTAAGCTTCACCCTTTCTGAAAATTTGAATCGCAGTGCTGAAAAAATGTAAATTTTTCACTGTTGTTTTATTTTCACCCTTATCATTCACCCTACAACAATGGAAAGAATTGAACATATAAATAAAAAAAAAATGGTTAGCAGTGCTTGTGAGCATATATTTGGAAAAATTAATTCAAGATTGGGTGAAATTGTTTTAAATGATGAGAAATTTTTGGAAAATGGCTTGTCGAAAATAACAAGTTTTCATTTTCCATCCTAGGTCCTATAATTATGAGATTCATATGGAAAGTAAGCAATGCTATTTGAAATCTAGCAATAATGAAAATAAAAATAAACTTTAACAATTTGTAAAGTTTTCTATAAAGGCACTATTAAAGATGATGTATGTTGCACTAATACTGCTTCTGTATTCTAGTAAGACAGGGGTGTACAATTCCATAAGCCCAACAACCAAAGTCGTTTATCGTAAAGGTTAATGTTGAGCAAGTAAAAAGTTTTAAATTCAAGTATGAAATTGTGCACCTCTGAAATGGCACCAATGTTTTATCTTTATGAAATATTATTTGTAAAGAACTGGATAGGCCACGGTTGTTAAAAAATTCCATGTAATCATACATTTTGTGATTACAATTTTTGTGCATTTCTTGCACATATAAAACAGGCCAAAATATTAGAAACACCCACCATTTATCACTATAGTACTGGGTAATTACATGTCTAAACAATCTTCATAACTCATTACACAACACATGTACATAAAAGTACAGTCTATTTCTAAGCCTGCAAGTTTATTGAAGCATTAGGGTTTCCATAATGTGAGAATGTCTCCCCCAATATGCTGATACCTCATTGCATAGCTAGATAGACTGGAATAATAGTGGTTTTGAAAGGACGAAGTGGTTCAAAGCTAGAACCTTTCGTTTCATAGCTAGGTACTAACAATACTGTCCCCTACATAACATGCAAATTATGGAACAAACTCGTAAAACTTCCACTGACAGCCGTTTACAACATTTTTAGGTACAAAGATCCAGTAAAGTAACCTTCCATTGACAGCCGTTTANCAGCCGTTTACAACATTTTTAGGTACAAAGATCCAGAAAAGTAACCGAGACAGGCTGGTCCCCCTACGAAGTATCACAGATAATGCTACAATGGTGAGACAGAGGTAACTTGGGTCATTATATGTTAACAGATAATCATCATGACTCACTGATATTTTACTAATTTACTTAACATAATTAGCCGATATGGAATTGCTTTACATCATAAATTTTTAATTTCCAAGATATGATGCATTATTCGGTAAAGTAAATATTTGAGACAAACCTAATTAACCCTTTCACCACTGTAGACCATAATGGACTCATCCGGATCATTGCATGGTAGAGTCTACTAAAGTTACATAGGGGTGAAAGGGTTAAGGATCCCCGTACCACTGCCAAAAAACTGTAACTTAGTCTTGGAAACTGTATTTTTCTGGCATGATTATATCTTTGATAAATCATTTCTGAAAAGAAAACCATACCTTGATAAACTGGGATTTGAACACTTGATTTCAAATTGTTATACTATCGCTCTAGCCAGCTCTGGTCAGTGGAAAGGTTCTTGCCCAATTGTGCTTCAGTTATTTCCAAACGGAAGTTAAAGGGAGGTCACTGTATTTACGAAAAATAAACAGTGCATTGGTACAGGGATCCTTAACATGCCGACAGCCTGGCAGGCCTATAGGGTATACAGTGGTATGACTGGTTAGAAATAACTGCCCTGTTGTCAATGTCTAAGCTATTCAATATATAGTTCCATTGCTGCCAATTATAACAACCAGAAATTTAAATCCATCAATTATCTTTAACATTTGCAATACCCATAACAAAAATCTCAATCTATCAAGCAGAAGTTGGACGGAGGAAGTAGCCATCATAAAGCATACAATGACAACATAAACAGTACATTATAATATGAATTTATAAAAAAAAAATTGATATTAAGATTTAATATCGTTCCTAAGCAATGTTATTATTCCTAATGCCTCAACAAATATCAAATTTGTTGATAAACTTTAGCAGAGATCTTTTTGAAAGCTCTGATACGAAAATTGAAATTCATGTACTCAGTCTTGAATGAATACTTTATATACACCAAGATTATCACAGAATTAGCTCCTATACATAACTCTAATTAGAGGCTGTACATTTGGTATCAAGTTTTCTTTGAACAGGCATGCTATCACGTCACTACCTAGCAACATCTTCATGGGAAATATTTACATATTTTATTGTACATGATGTCTTCTTTGAATTACTTCCAGTTTTGAAACATACTGCAGTACATGATGTCCTCATGAGAAACAGAAATCTGCTGTAAGCTATCCTGACAACGACAAGCTGTATGGTGTCCGTGACATCCAGTAACAATAAGCGCTTGTTGTACGTTTTAACAATCTGTCCTCATGAGAGATGGCAAACTGTTGTATATCTCTGTTGACATTCACTATCGTTAGTGACACAGGATGTCTGACAAGAATAAGTTGTATGGTGTAACATCCTCAAAGAACTGGTGGACTATTGTACGCCACGTTCACCAACAACTACCGTCGCCTGTTGTACTTTTTAACAATCTTATCTGTACCATGCTTCAGGTCCTCTATATGCGAGTCTATCAAAAACTCAAGTTCTTTTGCACGTTTATTCTCCGCTTCTAGAAACTTCTGTGACACCGAATTCCTTGGACTGGGCACCTGAAGGCAAAAATCATTCACATGTGATTCTGAATAATTCATCAACTCAAGAAAAAACATTTATGTATCTACATCTTTCAAATCAAGTTCTCTCACTGTTGAATTGATTTTCCATTAGAATTTTTTACTTATATGCTGATTTTCGTATATTGCTCTGGGCGAAAAAAATTAACTGGGTGATATCCTTATTTACAGTATTGCTTTTTACAGGTATAATCATTTTACCAAATTCAACTTGGACAAATTTATTCATGTAAAAGAAAGTAACTAAAAGCCTCAAAGCTTCGATCTTTATGCCATGGAATTCAGTAATTTATGAACTTCTTCGAACAAAATGTCAGGACAATGTACACAGCACCAAAACACTTACCTCCATGCTGACATCTTGTAAACTGTCTGATATAGACATTGGACGGCTGCTCAGGACCGTCTCAAAGCTGGCATTGGCATGACCATTGACCCTTAATTCTGGATCAAGGTCGTTAGTAAGGTCAAGCCCAGTGGTGCCTTCTATAGGTGGTCCTGCAATTGAAATAAAATAATTTTCACCAGTTGATGACAATTTTCCTAGATACTGTTACTGAAAATGTGCATAGTTAGCGGTAATCTTATTTTACCACTTGTCACATTTTAGATATTATGCTTAACAAGTCATACAGATTGATATGTCTCGCCTGTGCCCTGCTTTGACCATCAATTGCACATGTCAAGTTTTGTTGGTCTAGCACTTACAGTTTCAGAGAAACTAACTTAAACACAAAAACTTGATGTTGATGGAGATGCTGACAAAGTCAATGGACCATGAAAAGTAGGCCGCATCCAGCATTTGATGCATGGGTTGAGATGTACTACCTAAGATGCATCTATGGTCCAAGTTTGGTTGGTCTAGCACTTATACTTTCAGTGAAACTTACTTAAACACAAAAACTGTATGTTGATGCCGCCACTGGAAAAGCAACACCTTAGCCTCGCTTCTGCTGCTTCGTGGCAGCGAGACAAAAATGGCGTGTGCTGATATAGGTTTCTGTACATTGCTCTCGAATGCATATATTGTGAATATGCCAACAGATCAAAACACTAATTGGTAAAAATTTGAGTATGTTCTAAAATTTGAATGCATTAAAATAAATATGTTTACAGCAGCCATAATTTTGTATTCACATTACGCTGAGATAAAGACAAGGGTGTGGGGGGGGGGGGGGGGGTAATTCCCCTGTCATAACAATTGCATGACATCACATCAACAATGCAATTATGTCACGTCAACAATAGCAGATCAGGGAAGACAACTCCAACCTGCTGGAAATTATGAAATAAACATTACATTTTTCATTTCATGAAATTACCACTTGTACAAAACGTGCGTGATGTGGGAGAAAAATTTCCCACTTTTAGAGAGAGACAGAAAAATCTCAATCCTTGGGGGTAAGATTTTTCTGTCTTACCCCCAAGGTGGGGAAAGATTATGTTAATTCTACAATGTCACTGCAGTCTTACAGAGGAATATCCTAAACCCTCGGGTAAAATTTAAATGATATTCGAGGGGATGCATCAGCAACTATGAGTTCTGTGAAAACAATAAATTAAAACTTGTATGGAGTGAAAACCTCACTTAACTCACACCAGAGTTTTAGGACATCCTCTTGTAAGATATGACATGATTTGATGGTACAAAAATACTGGTTCGTCCTCAAAATCGACACGCTGTCTTATTCATCAAAATGTCTCTTTATAGACATAGTTATACATAATTATATCAGTATAAACTTAGCCAGGATTCCCTGTGGTATCTAATAATGTAGTGATAGACCTAATCTTTCTCGGAGAAATTAAGCACAGTATAAAATGTTATGCCGTTAAGAATACTGTACAATTTTACCCATCATAAAATATATAGCTTAGTACAATGTTCTCTGTCATGTAGATAGACATGTAAGCCTGCATGGGGTCGTACTCCTTATCAATGGGTACATAGGTACAGGGCTTATTACTATTTCACACTTAATGCCATGAATTGCTTAATACTTGACATAACCTTAGAATGTGAATCTGTTATGAAGTATGGGTGATATGGTAATCTTTCTTACAGGAATGCAGAATAACATTCTATTTTATGGTAAGAGTTAACTCACTCACCCCTGAACTTGCATAATGAACTATTCCAACCTTTGAACTGGAAGAGTTCAATTGTGTCTGCAGGGGTGAATGAGTTAAAGTAACACATCCTGGGACAAAACAAGTAAATCATTTCATCATACATGTATTAATTCGTTTTAAAAGAAACTCACTCGTTCTTAAAGGTGAAAGCTGCTGTCTTTCATGGTCAGTGTCCAAATGTCTCTTTCCGGGATCAGATAAACTTGAAAGTCTGTTATCATTTCTAGAGTGGCGGTCAGGTTCCCTGAACTCTGACGGACTATTATCATTTCTGGGTAAGTGTTGAGAGTGGCGATCAGTGTCCATGAACTGTGGCGATTTGTTCATGTCTGAATAACGTGACCGGTCAGAGAACCTGGCAGGAGAGTCGACACTGGAGTATCGGGAGTGTCTCTCACTTGTATCTGAGTACCGATTTTTCCTTTCGTTGTCCTGGTCACAAGATGACCTCTCAAAATCGGAGAACCGTGATGTTGAAGGTCGTTCTGTGTTTGTGTTCCGTAAGCGTTTTTCTAGTTCAAGCTGTGCCTCAAGTTGAGCCTTGCCTATTTTAAGTATGCGGACCTCCTCCTTGTACTGTTGTGTGGTGGAGTGGAGTCGCTCCTGGATCTCCTCAACACGGCGCTCGGAGTTCTCCTCAAACCTCTTTATCCTGGTAATAAAAACAGACAAATTCCTCAATACTTCTTGAAGTCATATGATGAACATTATATATATAATTTTTACAATAATTCTTTATAATGTAGAATCTTTTAGTTACGCTACACCGAAATGAAACATTTCTGATGCGGATCAAAGAGAGGACTTGTATAATTCTGTTTATTACTGCTAACAAAATATGGTGAAAGGATTGAAGATGACAACATAAACACAGATGGGAATTGTATCTCGCACAGTGACAGGTTTAGGTTGAAGACTCTGATACAGACTTACCTATCATCCTGAGCCGATGTGTCTACATTCTGGAGAGCAAGTCGCACTTGTTCCTCGTACCGTTCTTCCAACTCATTCATTTCCTCCTTCAAGCATTCCATGTCTTCTCTCAACTGCTGGTTCTCGTGCTGAAATCAAAAGGAAGGAACACTGAAACCTGTTCTATGTATCACAGACAGTATTTATGGTAATAACTCAGAAATATCATAAATCCCAAACGCAATGTTTATACCTCAGAAATATTTTTATCCCTGACACATTCTCTTGTGTACCGTAGAACTATTGTAAATCCCAGACTCAATGATTATACCATAGAAATACAATAAATCCCAGACACATTAACCTATATTTTTAGTTGAAATTACTCCGAAATACAATCAGTTACACACACAAAATGTATACATGTACCTCAGATATAATACACTGTACCTCAGAAATATTATACATCCCGACACAATGTTTATACCTCAGAAATACTTTAAATCCCCGACACAAAATGTATACATGTACCGCAGATATAATACACTGTACCTCGGAAATATTATACATCCCGACACAATGTTTATACCTCAGAAATATTATACATCCCGACACAATGTTTATACCTTAGAAATATTATACATCCCGACACAATGTTTATACCTCAGAAATATTATACATCCCGACACAATGTTAAATATACCTCGGCAATATTACACATCCAAACACAATGTTTACACCTCAGAAATACTATAAATCCCAAACACAATGTTTACACCTCAGAAATACTATAAATCCCAAACACAATGTTTATACCTCGGAAATACTATAAATCCCAAACACAATGTTTATACCTCGGAAATACTATAAATCCCAAACACAATGTTTATACCTCGGAAATACTATAAATCCCAAACACAATGTTTATACCTCGGAAATACTATAAATCCCAAACACAATGTTTATACCTCGGAAATACTATAAATCCCAAACACAATGTTTATACCTCAGAAATAATATAAATTACAGACACAATGTTTATACCTTGGAAATATTATACATCCCAAACACAATGTTTATACCTCAGAAATACTATAAATCCCAAACACAATGTTTATACCCGGAAATACTATAAATAACAGACACAATGTTTACACCTCAGAAATATTATAAATTACAAACACAATGTTTATTCCTCAGAAATACTATATATCCCAAACACATTGTTTATACCCGGAAAAACTAGAAATTACAAACACAATGTTTATTCCTCAGAAATACTATAAATCCCCAACACAATGTTTATACCTCGGAAATACTATAAATCCCCAACACAATGTTTATACCTCGGAAATACGATAAATCCCAAACACTATGTTTATACCTCAGAAATAATATAAATTACATACACAATGTTTATACCTCGGAAATACGATAAATCCCAAACACTATGTTTATACCTCAGAAATAATATAAATTACATACACAATGTTTATACTTCAGAAACACTATAGTCCCCAAACACAATGATTATACTTCAGAAATACTATAGTCCCCAAACACAATGTTTATTCCTCAGAAATACTATAAATCCCCAACACAATGTTTATACCCGTAAATACTATAAATTACAGACACACTGTTTACACCTCAGAAATACTCAGGTCCAGTACACTCTGCCGATTGAGCTATATAGCTGTAAAGACCTATAATAGCTCTATTGACCTATCTGAAATAGGTCTTTTGAGCTATTTTCAAGTGATTTTCTTTTTTAAGGAAAACGAAACAAAGTCGCTTTTTAAAGAAGATTGTATCATTAGGTTGATAACAAAAGACATAAATATAAGTATTCTTTTAAAAAAAATAATGATGTAAAAAAATCGGAAATTTTACATTTATGAAAAATGAAAATAAACATCTAAATGTATGCTTTTTGTAGTCAACATTACCATTAACCTTATTGTTTTATGCGACTTTGCTTTAATTTAATGAAATTTGAAATCTGAGAAAATATAGCTCAATACAGCTATAATGTATAGGTCTCTATTTTATACCTCAGAAATAATATAAATTACATACACAATGTTTATACTTCAGAAATATTATGAATTACAAACACAATGATTATACTTCAGAAATATTATGAATTACAAACACAATGTTTATACCTAAGAAATATTATAAATTACAAACACAATGTTTATACTTCAGAAATACTATAGTCCCCAAACACAATGTTTACACCTCAGAAATACTATAAATCCTGGACACAATATATACATGTATATATAGTAATATAATAATACAAAAAAAATGTACCAGTACCTGATAAATATCATAAATGGTCTGAATTCCTTGGTGCCTATTTTTTTAGTCAGCTGTTAACAGTACCTGTCACCACAGGTGTACCTATACCCTACAGCTGTTACATGTAGTCCTAGTCGTGGCCGGAGTACCAGTAGAGTGTGACCACCACCACCTGACCACTACTCAACACTGCCCCAACCCCTAACAACTCATTTAGTGGGAAAACACTACTCTTATTTATGTCAAAGAAAACTTGATGCATATTGCTGTAAGCATGAGTTTAATTTTGATTTTGAATGGATGACAGAATTCTATGTCGATACTTCATTTAATCTAGCTAGCACCACATGGCATTAAAATTAACAGACATTAAATGACTTGCTTTTGTATTTCACTTACAAAACATATCAAAGTTGTATCAGACTATGCACCTCAATTAATATTGGCAGCATTTCATAGGCGTCCTTTGTGAAGTGATTTCATTATAACAAATCCTTTTAATCCAAAAATCTGAATCAACCCAACCTTCAAATAAACTTGCACCAACTAAAACTTCAAATAGATTCCACTGTGTACAGCGTTGGAGTACTGACACAATTAACCTACAACTCAGCCTCCTCAACTGTTGAATAAGATTAGCATACAGCCCTAACATGACAACTTCACAGGTCACATTGGACCAAACTTCCTATGGACACTCTGAATACTGAGTTTAATCACTGACACTATTGCAACATTAACTGTATGTTACAAACCCTCAGCCTTCAGATCTATGTACATGTAGACACACTATCAATTTCAGCTTCAGATCTAGACAAATAAGCTATTATTTTCAGTTTCAGATCTAGACACTATCATTTTCAGCTTCAGAAATAGACAAACTATTATTTTCAGTTTCAGATCTAGACACTATCATTTTCAGTTTCAGATCCAGACAAATGTGTGTACTATTTAAAGCTTCAGATCTAGACAGTCTACTAGCTTACACACAATACAAAACATGTTTATAATGATTACCTAGCACTACGTATACTTGCAGTATTTTTATGGGGTATATTTGTAACCTGTATTCAGTGGAACATTTTCGGATCAACATTGTGCTTTACAAAAGATTGATGTCTTTGTTATATAAGGTCACCAAATGGTAACTGAAGGATTAAATCAAGGTTTAGAATTAAGAATTCCCTAAGTGCACCATGCTTAACATATGTTATTAAATTCTACACAAAGAAATTAACACAGCTATACAGATTAAATGTTGAAGCTGCCAATTTTGATAAAAAGTTACCAACAATGTGAAATTCTAGACTGTGTTCAAATCAACCGGAGACTAACATCTCTATCACAAGGGCAAGTGCAAAGTGTATTAATAAAGTTAAAAAACCAAAAAAAACAATAAAGGAATGAAAACAAACTAGATACAGCCATTTGAGAATTTGCCTTAACAATATCAAACTGGACAATATGTTCATGTTACTTTAACATATCATGACAGGAGGTACACCTAATCATAGCCTACCTTTCTGTAGACAATACTGGAGCTTAAGGAAGGGAGGGAATTTGAAATGAGCAATGTTTTGCTGCATTATCACAGTTGGGTTATAGGAGCAGAACTGCAGGTAAGGGGTATGGTTGGAGTGAAGATGGGAGGTCATGAGCCAGGGAAGATTAGGAAGATTATAACGTTGAAGAAAGACGGTCGGTGAATGCAGGGACAGGTGTAGTGATCTGTATTACAGATATCATGGTGATGGTGAAGTCAAAGGTCAGGGGTCGTTGGGTCAGAGGAACTTACCTGTAATACACATACTCTAAGTGATGTTGGAGAGAGAAGTTAGAGGTCAGAGGTAGCGGGGTCAAGGGAAGTAACCTATATTACACATAAGTGATGTTGGAGAGAGAAATTAGAGGTCAGAGGTAGCGGGGTCAAGGGAAGTAACCTATATTACACATAAGTGATGTTGGAGAGAGAAGTTAGAGGTCAGAGGTAGCGGGGTCAAGGGAAGTAACCTATATTACACATAAGTGATGTTGGAGAGAGAAATTAGAGGTCAGAGGTAGCGGGGTCAAGGGAAGTAACCTATATTACACATAAGTGATGTTGGAGAGAGAAGTTAGAGGTCAGAGGTAGCGGGGTCAAGGGAAGTAACCTATATTACACATAAGTGATGTTGGAGAGAGAAATTAGAGGTCAGAGGTAGCGGGGTCAAGGGAAGTAACCTATATTACACATAAGTGATGTTGGAGAGAGAAGTTAGAGGTCAGAGGTAGCGGGGTCAAGGGAAGTAACCTATATTACACATAAGTGATGTTGGAGAGAGAAATTAGAGGTCAGAGGTAGCGGGGTCAAGGGAAGTAACCTATATTACACATAAGTGATGTTGGAGAGAGAAGTTAGAGGTCAGAGGTAGCGGGGTCAAGGGAAGTAACCTATATTACACATAAGTGATGTTGGAGAGAGAAGTTAGAGGTCAGAGGTAGCGGGGTCAAGGGAAGTAACCTATATTACACATAAGTGATGTTGGAGAGAGAAGTTAGAGGTCAGAGGTAGCGGGGTCAAGGGAAGTAACCTATATTACACATAAGTGATGTTGGAGAGAGAAATTAGAGGTCAGAGGTAGCGGGGTCAAGGGAAGTAACCTATATTACACATAAGTGATGTTGGAGAGAGAAATTAGAGGTCAGAGGTAGCGGGTCAAGGGAAGTAACCTATATTACACATATCCTGGTGATGAGGGGGGGAGAACATTGCAGGTTGAAGGGTAAGGGGAGGTAATTATTTAACAGACACCCTGTTGTTGTAGAGAAGGAGTTAGAGGTAAGAGAATCAGGATAAGTTACCTAAACTACAGATACTCTCTTGATGTTTGACAGAGAAGGTCAGGGGGTCAGAGGAGGTTGCTACCTTTGTAAGAGATGGTGGTATTGGTAACAGGGAGATGAAGGTCAGATGTCAGGGGTCACAGGTCAGGGGAAGTTTCCTATATTACAGATACTAGGGTGATGTTTGAGAAAGAGGGTCAGGGGTCAAAGTCAGGGAAGTTACCTTAATTACACATATCCTGTGGTTGGGGAGATGGTCACAAGTGGAAGGGTGAGGAGAGGTTACCTTTATTACAGATACCCTAGTTAGTGTTAGAGAAAGAGGGTCAGGGGTCAGAGGTCAGGGAAGTTACCTTAATTACACATATCCTGTGGTTGGGGAGATGGTCACAAGGAGAAAGGTAAGTCAAGGTTACCATTATTACAGATACCCTAGTAAGTGTTAGAGAAAGAGGGTCAGGGTGAGGGTCAGGGAAGTTACCTTACTTACAGATACCCTGATAATATTGAAGAAAGAGAGTTGGAGGTGGGGGGGTCAGTGGTAAGAGGTCAGGGAATTTACCTTAATTACACACATCCTGTGGTTGGGGAGATGGTCACAAGTGGAAGGGTAAGGATAGGTTATCTATATTACAGATACCCTGGTAATGTTGGAGAGATGGGTTGGAGATCGGGTGAGGTTACCTCTAGCCGAGACACACTGGTGCTGTATGAATTCTGTATAGCACGCATGTGTTCCTCTGATACAGTCTTGTCGGCATTGGTGTGCGCCTGCTGTAGTATCGTCTGCCGTAAGTGGCGGTTCTCTAACCGTATAGCCTCTATCTGGGCATTGGCTACCTGTCAGACATGTGACCATTACCAAGGTGATGGGGAAAACATGTTAGATGTGACAAAAGGTTAGTGGTGGATTCCTGTTTGAACTGTTCATATAAATATCATCACAGTATACCATTTACAGCTGAACACATTTCTAGTGTATTTTTTTTTACAAATAAATACATTAAGACATTTTAGATTATGAAATGATGAGCAACTGTATACATCTAGTAGATTCACGCAGCTTTGTTTTCCATTTTAATCACAGGAATTCACCACCTCTAACACACAACCAGAACTGGCATGGAGTGAACAGTGTAGTCCTTGTCTTGTCTAAAGTCTCTCAGGGTACAAATTTTCATTTCTCGTACAGATCTAATTATAAAATCAATTTACTTATAAAATTCATCAAACCATTAACATTATTCCGAGTTGTTAGTGTTTCTCATACACCGTCCTATAAACTCATTCACCCCTGAAGACACATTTGAACCCTTCCAATTCAATGGTCGGAATGGTTCATTATGAAATTTCAGGGGTGAACAAGTTAAAAAGAAGCATGACACAGAAGCTTTACCAGCCACATCTACACACGTAGTTTGTGAAATAAAGTTATATATAGTCAGGAAGCTTCATCGGGCTGACAAAGCCTGGATTCAGGAACACTCAAAAAGAGTAGAATTTTGTACGCATACTTGAATTTGGACAAGACAGGGACACAGGGTTTCATGAATAAGTGCAGGATGATACAAAAACAGTGTTGTACAATTTAAACACACCTACTGCCTGTTCAATTTATTACAACTCAGAGCCAATAAACTTGTGTAAAAATAAATGTCAAACACATAAGTATAAAAGGTGATATCTACATCACTATAGGGTGTGGTCTGGAAATCACTTGATCTGTGTGAATTTTATGTTAAATTTACCAGGTATATATATGCATTTATTTTCATTTAAAAGATTTTTATTTTTTATGATTACAACAATTATGAAACAAGTTATTTCAAATTCTTATGTTCATGACTTTTAATAAGAAGAATGTCAAGTGCCCTGTTACCGGTCCTTGAATTTCTCCCGATGACAATGCTTTTACGATATAACTCTTAGTGAGAGAACCCGTTTCTATATGCATATTTTAGAATTAATTTAAAGGTGCTGTAAAAGCTAAATAAGTGAAAGTTTTCATTTTTCTAATATGTTTCAATGTAGTTACCGACATGAACTGTAAGCTGTGACATGTCAGTAAGGGCCCTGCCATGAGCCTGACCCTACCTCCTATGGCCTATTTTTAGTAACATTGACCTTTACCTAGACTTTAGAATCTTCTAAAACCCAAATATCATATGTGTTACTATGTAAAATTTTATAGTCTTTTGAATTTTGAGATGCCGACCGTAAATCATTGGTCTATTTTTAATGACAGTGACCTTGACCTAGACCTTAAAAAACTTTTAAAACTCCCATTGCACATCTGTAAATATCACAATGAATCATGATGTTGAATTCCTATGTAAGGACTTTTACTCCCGCAGACTATTTTTAGTAGCAGTGACCTTGACCTTGACCTTAAAACTTTTCACACTCCTATATAGCACATCTAAATATCAATGTGTGTCACTATGTTAAATTTCCAAAAGATCAGTCTTTTGGATTATGAGACGAGGAAAGTACCCCATAGTCTATTTTTAGTGACAGTGACTATGACCTTGACCTTAGGAACTTTTTAACCCCCTATCACACATGCACATATCACAGTGTATCACAATGTCATATTTCAGAAAGATCAGTCTTCTGGATTCTGAGATGGTTTCAGAGAAAACCAAATGGAGAGACAGACAGATGGACAGATGGACACAGTGATTACTATAGGGCTCTTATGAACAATAACATATATACATTGTCTAGTACTTGTTGAAATATGTCATAAAAAGTTATGATATGTTCTGATTTGTGATCCTTATAGTTATACCACATAATGTAATGTGAAAATATCCTCAAGTAATTTCCAGAACACACTCCTTATCACTAGCCTAGCACAGGATGTCATATTGTGCCAAATTGTCGGAGTATTATCTTCAAGTTGTCATCTTAGTAATGAAATTTTGTATAAAATGAAACCTATAATCCAACAAGTGAAATAGTATTAATTTTGCCAAACCACAGCGGTGAAATATCATTGGAGTTTTAGACTATAATACTTGTACATGGACAAGATTCCTTGGCCATCTTTATGTAGTTATGATCAGGCAGACCTATTGTTACTCTTCTACAACGTCGCGGCTGAACAGTACATCATTAATAAAATAAGTTTCCTATTTTCTTTTCATCGTTTCCTTCTTAATATTGCATAGTTGTAGTGTTATCATTACGTAGAAGTTTTCAGAACATATACCTATTAGCTCTTTCAACCCTGAAGACTCATTTGAACTCTTCCAATTTAAATGTTGGAATAGTTCATTATGAAATTTCAGGGGTAAATGAATTAAATGTTATCAGATATCCATCTAAAGTTTGATTACTCCTGGAAATTCTTATGTAGGCTATGACTGCTGTCTAGAACAACATAATGTTTGTCAATAACGTATTGACATAATACTAGCATGATAACTCCTCTGATATTTCACCTCAGTGGTTTAGTGTGTTTGGCAAAATTAATACTATTTCACCTATACAATAAGAAGATCAAATATCTACCACAGCAACAGACAGTGACACTTCTAGACGGGTCTATAACACAAAGTCTACATAATAGGTCCTCTTTTGATAAAGTTACTCAAGTGCAGATTACAACAGGTGCTGTAGGGGAGTGACTTCGTAACAAGCAACATGGTGTCTATGAAACACTCACCTGCAGCTCTGCTGTTTTCTTCTGTGTTACCTCCATATCCTGGCGCATCTGCTTTTCCATGCCACTGGCCTTTTGACTTAAGGTTGCCATGGCGACGTCCTTACCATGAAGTTCTGAGGCAAGGTTGCCCACCTCTTTGTTCATGCCCTCGACTTCAGCCTGGTGTGACTCCTGCTGTGCCTGAAGCTGTTCCTGTAGCTGGGAGATTTGTGATCGGAACTTTGCGTACTCATCACTCTCCAGTCGCTCTAACGCAGCTTTCTGTAAACAAAACCCACGAGTACCCTTTTAGTAACGGTAATTCAAATACATTTTAATGACGAGAGTATCATAACACAGCAATTGGTTACTGGTGGTATTACAAATGTACCTTGTTCTCGAGGTCGTCGGCAAGCCTCTCACAGTCCTCGACAGCCTTCTTCAGGTGTGACTGTAGCTTTGTCACCTCCTCCTTCAGCTGTTTCTCACTCCTCCTGTACTTCCTATAAACACATCAGTGATATTTATCACCCTGTAGGCTACTAGGCATGAAAATAGACCCCCTCTGTTTTGATTTTATTGTAATTGTATCCATGTTTGACACCCCCCCCGATAGAAACCTTCATGCAAAATATGAGTATCCTTGTGTAAATATGGAGGTTATTTATTTACATTTTCACTGCAAGTTCCTCTATAAGCATTACCAGAAGAAACTTGATCAGCATCATTTTGAAGCTTCTCTTCCCACCTTGAAGCAAACATTTTGGTAATGTTAAGCTGTTCCAGGAATCTTGTTCCCACTGACAACATGGATACTAACTTCAATATTGAAAATATCAGGGATTACCTTTATTAAGACCAATTATCATCAAATTTAGAATGTAAGTATATGTTTATGTATTGTATAAAACAATATTTTTTGGGGAAAAAAAATGTTGTTCAATCTTTAAAATATATGATTGAATTTAAACACTTAAATCTCCCCTACTCATATTCTTCGAATGGGTAAGCTAATAAACTGACATCTTTATTTCAAATTTTGCCCCGAAAATGAACACACCCTCTTACTTCCCCACATTGCAGATCAAAAAGACAGATATGACATGTCCAACAAGCATATACACATATAGGGTAGATGATATAATTACCTGGTTTCCTCTTTGGCCGTATGCATGGCTTCTTTGAGAAGGCGTACCTGGTCCCCTTCCTCCTGGCTCCTGATGTCTCCAAGTGACCTAAAGCAACAACGGAGGACTCCTTTAAATTAAGTGTTAAGTGCCCTATCTGTATCATTTTACATCACCACAAACGAAATTGAAGGAAAAAACAAGAATTTCCACTTTCACATTGAATTGACGTTAAAAAGGCTGTATTCGAAACAAAACAGTACAACAGCTGGTTTTTGAGAAAAAAAAGCACCCACACTAAAGATTAAAACCAGTTGCACTCTCTAAAATTGTCCTTGAGCAGAGTTAAGAGTTTGATCAATCGACCTTGAGCAGAGTTAAGAGTCGTACACAGCTGACAGATAGCCAGTGCATATTGTACAACAATAAAACACAATACAAAAACACTATGCCCACATCAGTGCTGATATATAGACCACACACCAAACGTCCTCCTGGAATAGACAAAATCCAGCTTCCTACACTCCTACAGCTGTAAATCCACACCCTGACACACAACCCAGCTTCCCAGGGTACTAACACGGTCAGAAAACTGACTATAATTAGTGTGGAGTACTGACGTCTTTAAATATATCTTCTCCTTGACGCTGCTTATTACCTGTCAGCTTCATGGAAATTATTTAAATAATGCTAACAATTTTTTTTTTTGACATATCCTCTAATAGGAAGTTCACATCTTAAAACTGAATTTTGATCAAAATATATTTTTCTGTCAGAATTTGTTTTCTCCAAATAACAGAAGTTTCATTGTAATTCATGGTCTACTGTATGTGTTAGTCAAGCTGTTCATGCTCTGGGTTTAGATCTGATCGAGTTCCGTGTTATCTGATCAAGGATCTAGTCACAAGTACGAACAAGTTGATCAGATAGACAGATCGGTAGATCACAGTAGAGTAGGTACACCACATATCTGTCTGGTCCGAATTATCAAAATTCTAGACTTAAAACAGAAAAAACATGTCAGAGACATTTTATCGAACCTAAACGATTATGTACAGATCTGATTTCTATCTCATTTGGTTTTTAAATAGAACAGAAAATCTGACAATGATAGGATCCTATGTCTGGAGGTTTAAATGACAATGGCACGTTAATGAGGGTAATTAATTGGAAATTGAGGACTGTTTTGAATCATAGACAATCAAAGCACTATTTTATCTTTATAGAAAACAAGGGATAAAATGGACTAGATTGTTTTTATTCATTAATGAATTTTTCTACTTTTTTTTTAATAATTATCCATAAAATATCAAATTATACCAAGTCCTGCCTTTAGTGAGTGTAAACATTAATCTATATAATTATATATATTATATGGACAGGTTTATAGCACTGAAGTTTGGGGCAGATATTTACATACTTAAAGTTGCATATAAATATTAAGCTTGCTGATTGATCTGAAAATAATCTTTTATTTTATGTATATATATATTTTTTCAGTTTTTTATCTATTACATTTCATACGTAAAAAGTCACAAAAATATGGTGAAGATTTTAACAATTGTCGAAAGGGAACTTCTGGTTATCAGAGTATCAGATCTATGTCCTGTTCGAGATGACGCCCAGCCCTCTATTATATAATATCAACTATGACCCTTAATGAATTATTATCATTCTTTTCCAACAAGGTGTTTTTCACCCTCAGTTCTACTGAGTCACGTACCATTACTCGATGATGCCACTTCTCCATTGATCATGAGTAGGACGCCATTATGACAGTTTCTGTCTATGAGTAGGACACCATTATGACAGTTTCTGTCGATGAGTAGGACACCATTATGACAGTTTCTGTCCATGAGTAGGACACCATTATGACAGTTTCTGGCTATGAGTAGGACACCATTATGACAGTTTCTGTCCATTAGTAGGACACCATTATGACAGTTTCTGTCGATGAGTAGGACACCATTATGACAGTTTCTGTCCGTGAGTAGGATACCATTATGACAGTTTCTGTCCATGAGTAGGACACCATTATGACAGTTTCTGTCCGTGAGTAGGATACCATTATGACAGTTTCTGTCCATGAGTAGGACACCATTATGACAGTTTCTGGCTATGAGTAGGACACCATTATGACAGTTTCTGTCCATTAGTAGGACACCATTATGACAGTTTCTGTCCATTAGTAGGACACCATTATGACAGTTTCTGTCCATTAGTAGGACACCATTATGACAGTTTCTGTCCATTAGTAGGACACCATTATGACAGTTTCTGTCCGTGAGTAGGATACCATTATGACAGTTTCTGTCCATGAGTAGGATACCATTATGACAGTTTCTGTCCATGAGTAGGACACCATTATGACAGTTTCTGTCCATGAGTAGGACACCATTATGACAGTTTCTGTCCATGAGTAGGATACCATTATGACAGTTTCTGTCTATGAGTAGGATGCCATTATTACAGTTTCTGTCTATGAGTAGGACACCATTATGACAGTTTCTGTCTATGAGTAGGACACCATTATGACAGTTTCTGTCTATGAGTAGGACGCCATTATGACAGTTTCTGTCTATGAGTAGGACGCTATTATGACAGATTCTGTCTATGAGTAGGACACCATTATGACAGTTTCTGCCTCACATAAGTTTGCTATAGTGTGCTTTCCTCTGGCTTATGTGAACTACATGTCTTACTTGACGTTGAATTTTTGTGACTCTTTTGCAACTAATCTCTGCTAAGTAGGACACCATTATGACGGTTCCTCACTTCCTGAGGTTATTTCCCCTTACCTAATGATGTTGTCTTTTTCTGCTAAAGCGGCCTCCATTCTGAGAAGATCTTCTCGGTATCCACTATTGTCCTCACTTGCTGCATACAGGAAGTCATCCTTACTCTGTAGGTCAGCCTCCATCTGGTTCTTCTCTTCCTCCAACTTCTACACACATCAAGGTCCATAATATTTGTCAGGGGTAATGGAGTATATAAGTTATATTGAAACAAAGCCTCACATTAGCAATCAGTCTAAAAGGGAAATTCAAATTTTGTAATGAATGAAATAAAATATGTATATTTTACATATTATTATTTTGATGAGTATTATGTGGAATCAGCCTTCTGCATGGCATATTCCAATGATATTTTAATATCCCATGTCACAAGTTTGAATGGAAGTGAGCATTGTGTATGAGCCAATCAGGACACATGATGTGTTGTAAACCTGTTTGTTTGATTCAATGTTATGTCAATTTTTAGTGTGGTCAATGGTTTTAGTTTTGGCATGTTGTGGTCAGTTCGGACAGAGTGGTAACAGGGAGCAGATATGCTTGATCTAGAGTTTAGAAAACAGCGATTAAACAATCTGGAATCGAGAAGATTTAAACGCTTTTTATATTGTTATTTTAGTGGATATTCTGTCAATAAATTCAATCAAAGAACCCTTAGAATTGTGTGCTATTTATTCAAGATACAACGCAGCCACTTCAGGAGAAGACTTATATAGGCACTGCCTGTTGTCTAATCCTTTTGTTAACTCAATGAAATTTGTTGAAACCAAATCCTGTACCGCTATATGCTGTTGACTTCTGTTTTATCCTCCTTGTTCAGTGTTAGTATAAACCACACTATAATACACTCAGACATCTTACCCTCACTGTGTTGTTTGCCTTTTTCAGATCGACGAGGAGCCGCTCATTATCATCCATGGCTTTCTTGTGTGCATTCATGGCATCTTCCAGTGAGCATTTCAGTTTTTCTACCTTTCCCTCCTGAAAGAAAATAAAAAAATGATTTATTCAACAAAACTTACAGTACTTAAGAATATTAGAATCAAGTTCATCTGTGTTGGTATACCGATAATTCTGATTTTTTTTTTTGATTTTTTTTCATTGCACAAAGACTATGAATACCTACATATTTTGACCACTACTGTAGCCTACAGTAGGACTTAGATTCTCCATGTTTAATTATCTGAGGTCCTGTGACCTTTCAAACACGTGACCTCAGGAGCAAGTCGTAGACACCTAGAATGCATTTCCTCTTGAACTTGGAATCTGGGAGGTCATCTACATCTGCCTGTACCAAGTAACCCTCAACCAGGACTGGGGGGTAAATAAACCCACACCCACAGAAAAAATATTACCGCTTAGAAAGGTAATTATTAAATAAATTTGGATTTTATTGAAAGATGTCACAAAGTTTATTACATTCATAAAACTTTTATTCTCCTGTGATTTACCTGTGTAACCAGAGTCTGGTTGGTACGTTCTAGTTGACTCTCCAGCTGAGCAATCTGTGACTTAAAGCTGACCTCCGAGTTGTCTAGGAGTTGTCTCCTCCTTTCTACTTGGCTCTGATATGTCTGTGATTGGCCCTAAAGGTCACAGATAAATAGAGGCAAAGGTCAAATTAAATAGTCTAAACAAAGATTAAAATGTCCATTTTAAAATTTCTTTAAATACCTTGAATATCTTAAAACAGAATGTCATGTCATTTAAATACATTGTAGTTAAAGGTTAAAGTCACATTAATGATATGCATAGGTTATAATTAAAGGTCAGTAAAGTTTAATATATGAATAGGTTAAAGGTCAGTCATATTAAATATATGAAGGTTTAAGGTCAGTCAGTAGTCACATTATATATATTAAACATGCATAGGCTAAAGGTCAGTCACATAAATATATGTACCCCAGGTAATGGTTATAGGTTAAGATATATACTATATATATATATTCTCAAAGTTAATGATGTTTTGATTTTAATTATGTCAATTCATATACATATATATACTGTTATTTGTGATATTGATTTAAATGCCAAGTTGAATGTTGTTATAATTTTTCAAGAGGTGTGATATTTCTACTTAAATATTTTAATATTACACTTTGTATGAAAGTTTTTTTTATATATATAGGTTTCATTTAAGAAAGAATCTAAAGTCAATTTTCAATAAAGAATAATGTCCATGCCATGTGTATTCAAAGTTAGTGCCAAAGGTTATATATATAAACAACACAAAGGTCGCCATGCATATATTAAGTGTGCGATAGGTTACTATATATATAGTACATAGTATGTGAATGGTTGTCAAGCATTCAAGAATAAAAGACCAGGAAATGTTAAAAGTATAAATCACAAGTATTCAAGCTTCTCCTACCTCTTTGATTATAACGGACAATATTTAGATTATATAGTATACTTACAGACAAAAAGGTTACACAGATAGACTAAACATGTAACATGTAGAAATATCTACACTGTCGGATTTAACTTACAAACATGGTAATCTTTCCTGAATTCTGGTGATTATAAGTAAATCAGCTGCCTTTTGTAACTTTTTATACTGAGGTTGTAAGTAAAGGCGAAATACTGCCAAAGCAACTTTCAGAGATCTTGCCGATAAATTGTGAACAGCATTATTCCTCAAGTTCACTTTGAGAAAAAATAGTGTAAGAAAAAATAAACATGCAGTATATTAGAAGTGATTATATATTATGTAATGTGAAACATGTCTTATACATCACAGTAAAAGTTAGGAACACCACATGCACACTGTGAAACCTCATCAATAAAATTAGTTTTATATTACATGAATTCTATAAACATTGAAATCAATCAATAAAAACTGAAATCTACTATTAAATAAATGTACATTTCACAGGAGGCAATTTACTTCTAAGTATGGACAAAGTTTATTGATTTACCATAATATGTTCAATTTATATGTAAATCATGATAAATATATGTGAATCTTGAGTTTCACATTTGTTGTCAGGGAAAGTAAAACAAAAGGGTTTCAAATAGAATCGCTGACCTTTAAGTTACAATAATAGACTCATAATGATAGAAAACAAATCATTTAGATATTTTCTCTATTCTCATCAAAAATTACAGTTTCATGCAGGATGCATTTACTTTTATGATAAAAAAACATTGTGATCTCAAATTTGAAGAAGATGTTGAAATATGTGTCAAGTGTCAGATAATTAGAGAGGGCTTCACTGTAAGAGATGTACAGTTAAGTATGTCAGATAAGACAGGTTTCACTGTAAGGGAGACAGAGTGTAGTGAGATTATTACATAAACATCTGTAACAAAAGTGAAGAATGCAATTGTGAATGAAAAGCCAACCACCATACTGATTCTGTGTGTGTGTAAGTCATAGAAATACAAAATCAAGTCAAAAGTGTCACTGGTTATATCAGGTAACACATCAGCCAGAGGGAAGCACACGTAAATCTATAAGAGGGAGAAACAAAATCAACAACAGCTAAAAGATGATAAACCAGCTCTCTATCAACAAACCTGTACAAATTCACACTTCTCCGTCAATGCTTTTCTCTGATGTTCTAAAGTTTCAATCTGTTTTTGAAACGTTCGTCGTTGTAACTCCCAGTCTTTAGACTTCTGGACATATTCCTAATTAAATACTTCATAGTCTCAATATGTGCTGACATTTCAAAACTAACAGGTTTATTTTATTGATCCATCGTACGCATTTTCATATTTGATTTCAAGCAACATTTCAGAAGGAATCAAACAATTATGTGAATAATAACAGGGAATTGTACTTTGTGCCTGACTAAACACCGTAATTAGCAGGCTATTTTGGCGATGTGGCAGAACACCGCAGCCACGTGTACCAGATCACCAAAAAATTAAATATTAGCTCAAGTTTTACAACTGTGAAAAAAATGAAGTCATAATTCTTATCTTTGTCCAACATAAAACACTGTTTCTGACATAAAACACTGCTTTCTGGAACTTACTGACTTGAAACAACATCCACGAGTATCAAATGTATGCAGATCCAGAATATCAATCATCAACATTTTTTAAAACTAAAAGGAATTTTGATAATTAATGACTGATATTCTTTCTTGTTGAACTCATTCACTCCTGAAATTTCATAATGAACTATTCCAACCTTTGATTTGGAAGAGTTCTAATATGTCTTCAGGGGTGAATGAGTTAATATCATATATGTTATGTGTACAGCAGTTTGATTAGCATTGGGGCAACAGTAGATGGTGTATATACATGCTGATGAGTTTATACATGATATTTCCTGATTAAATATCTCATGCAACCATAACAAATCTAGACTAAGATATTTGATTTTCTACAACTGAAAATATTCTTTCATTTTGAGCAATACAATGGATTCTTGAATTTGTCTGATAATATGATTGTGTGTGTCCTCAAGAATCTAATTTCAGTGCAGACAGAACAGGCACCAACAGTGTCACTTCCATCTCTACAGACAGAGCAGGTACCAACAGTGTCACTTCCGTCTCTACAAACAGAACAGGCACCAACAGTGTCACTTCCGTCTCTACAGACAGAACAGGCAACAACAGTGTCACTTCCGTCTCTACAGACAGAACAGGCAACAACAGTGTCACTTCCATCTTTACAGACAGAACAGGCACCAACAGTGTCACTTCCATCTCTACAGACAGAACAGGCACCAACAGTGTCACTTCCGTCTCTACAGACAGAACAGGCAACAACAGTGTCACTTCCATCTCTACAGACAGAACAGGCACAAACAGTGTCACTTCCATCTCTACAGACAGAGTAAAAGTAACACCAATGTAATTTGTTTGAGAAGACAAAGTATATGAACCACCAGTGTAATTACTGTATATAAGAGTTATTTTATTATCATATTTTCCCAATTTCCCCCATCCTCTATGTCCAGGGGTTACTCTCACTTACGCTCTCTGCACCCCTGGAATATGTCATAAGCAAAATTGAAGGCACAAAGACAGCTGTTTGATTGGTCTCAGGTAACAAAACCTGACCAATCGCCAGGCTGACACCTGTCCTTTGAAGATTACAAAGGGGCACCACTTGACTTCAAAGTCAGTCAATTTTTACCATTACATGACTGCAAGATTTTTTTTTTGTATATCAAAGGATCTAAATAGTCTTCTTGTTTCATCAACAAGGTGGCAATCACTGAGCCTTCAATTTTGCTGACATATTCCAGGGGTGTAGAGAAAGTAAATGAGTGTAACCCCTGGACATAGAGGAGGGAAAAAACACTGAAGACTACTGTCTGTGAAGACAAAAACAGACACCAATAATGAGACATCTGTCTGAAGACAAAATATGTAAACCATCACTGTACCTATTGTCTGTGATGACACAAATACCTGCACCATCTGTGTAACTAATGTCACGGAGACAGGCATTGAATGAAGGTCAAGGTAATTTATTTTAATACATCTGATAGCCCTCTATCCAAACTAGGTAAAGAGGAAATATTATAACCTGAGTCTTACATGTACAATTATTGAGTTGATTTATGCATATTCCATCCTTTTGGTCTTGAATGAATGTCAAGATCATTTAAAAAAAAACTTTGTTCCTAAATCCAGTTAGTTATATATATAAATAAATATAATTATTTGACTATTTGCCTTTGGTTCAAATATGTTTGACTCCTCTGACCTTAATGAAGGTCAATGTCATTTATCTGAAGAAAAATCATCTGTCTGCACCTACAGGTAATCATTCTAGGTAGACGCAATCAGTTTCTACGATGACTGAAGTGGCATTTTTTTCCCCAAATCACGAAAATTCTCGCTTGTTCTTGCGATTTCAAAGTGCATCAGACATATATTTCCTATGCCGAAGAGGCAGTTGCCTTTCCGTCTAATCTAATTCCGTGGTAGAAGAAAAAACTGTCAATTGTTCATGGAAAATTGACAACGGATGAAGACGGCCGGCAAAAATAGGTCTCGATCGTGACATTTTGTGATATAAAATGTTTGATTTCAGAATATTTTAGCAGATCGTTGACTAACTGAGATAGGAAGGTAAGAGCGGGTTGCATTGGACTGACCTCCACTTTGTCTTTGGTATGTTGTAGTTCCATTGTGTGATCCTGTAGGATGATGTCCGCCTGTTCCTTGTCATGTCGGCATTCCTTCGTTTGTTTGTGGTGGCGTTTATTTAGCTTTTCATAATCATGCTTCACCTTGCGTACCTGTATGGTCAACAGAAACAAACATTCAGGTAATCGTTAAAACAGAGAGACAGACAGACGACCGGCGGACAATAGATTGAGCCTAAACAATTGACTGAAGCTTCAAAGTACAGCACTCTTTCTCATATAGTTTTCTTGATACGGTTCAATCCAACAACCTATCATTCATTTTCAGCAATATTTCTATCAAAATTTAAAGTTCTGACAATCAAAATTATTAACATAAACATGAAATTCAAAGAAATATGCTCTGTTTTTCTTACTTATCTTGGAATCAAAGTGAAATTAAGAAGTCATCCTATCTTTTTGCTTATTACAGCATATTTTGAAACATTACAATCACCACAAAATGTATATATGCAGGATATAAGGTCATTTAACTTTCACCAACAGCCCGGTGCGGGACAGAAATCAACGGGGGAGCATTTTACCGAGAAGGCTATAATATCTTTGAGTGTAGGTTAGAATGACTGTTACGTAAATCCTCAAAACCACGACAATCATATTGTTATAGTTTACAAACTAGCAATGCAACCAGCAGCAAATTTTATGAGAAGAAAAAAAGAAAAAACAATCCAACAATGAAGATGGAAATATGACAAAAATGAAGACAATGACAAAAATGATTATGTCAATGATGATGATGAGAAAATAACATCAACAATGGTAATGATGTGTGTATCTGAAAGTGTTTAATGACAATTGATTAAATTTTAATAATGATGATTAAAGCTGATAACTAATCTCATTAGATTAAAACATTTAATCATGCCAAATGAAAGTTACGATGACGTGAGTCCTACTATTATAATTAATAATTCAGTATCCGAAAATATTAAACTGTTCAGTCAACTCCAAACTATTTATGAATCAAAAAAGGAAAAGATGTAATTATTATGTATAATTATTTATATTGTCCACACGAAATATCCCAAATAATCCAACTTTCTTCAATCACTTTTTGGTCACAATTTCTTTTTTAAAATGTAAACTTGAAAATGAAATTTCATGTCAGTAGGACTACTTTTTATACATAACATGTTTGTGAAACATGATTTTAATGATTGACAAATGTGGCATTACTTTCCTTTCCTTATAGTTCTTCAAATCAATTTTTTAAGTTATAAGACAAACTTGATCTATTTTACAACTAAATTTAATTATCACAAACAGTTTCTCATATTTTTATTTATTTTACCCAAAATAATTCAGCCTTCAAACTTGGAAGAGTTTTCTCATTTTTGACAGGGATTTAAGATAGGTATATACAATATGTATTACGGGTATGATAAGTGAGATGACAGACAGACATACAGTACCGTGGCAAGTGTCCACACATGGAATTCTTTAAAATCAAGGAAACTTTGTGACCAAGAAGTGACAGAAGGACAGAAGGGTTATTTTCTGAAAAAGTTTTGACAGTTGAGCCTGCAGCCAGGTCAAATTTTAGATCACTCAAAAAAAGTTTTTTTTTAAATCCACATTGACCGCATCCACCTTTTTTAATAGTAACCTGTCCGTGCAGGACAAAAGGTTCTTTGGAATGCCTTGGGCCTTTTCTATGTTGTAATAAGAAGTATAAGGCTGAGTGATGATCCAAAGGAAGTGATCGACCATCAACTGTGATTCTGGTTTCTACGGTAACAAGGTGAAAATGTAGCACAATTATTTTTGTTGATTAATTAATCCTGTTGAAATGTCATTTATCTTCAAGAACATTGAACATTTTGCAAACATTTTAATATATACAGCTTGGGTTTAACCAATTTGTTTTATTAAATCTTGAAAAAATACCTTAAATCCTGAAAAATACAACAGCATATCAATCTGATTAAAACCAGATCTTTAATTCCACTCTGATACTCTACCTTCCAGTCAACGTGGAGTATCGGAGTTGAATTAAAGATCTGGTTTTAATCAGATTGACACTATATATTTTTTCTTTGTATAAAGAAATGATTTAAATAATAAAATGTTTCAAAGACATTTGTACAAGTAAATATAAAATTTTAGCAAATAAATTTCTTTTAAATTATTCTTAATAACAATGTTGATCTTTGTCTTTTTATGAAAATTTTCCATCAGCATTAGAAATAAAATATTTTTAAATATATGTATTGTAACCTATTTATGAATAAGAGTCAACGTCAAAGCACCAAAATTAATGCTTTTATCCTTTTTTTTCATCTTCTGACCTTTAAAACCAAGTTATCCAGTTTTGAATTATAAATTAAAGCAGTTTACACAAAACTTATCTTTTGTTGAATTATAGAACAAGTTTGTTCATTATTGAACAACACAACAAGTTTACCCAGAGTTGAATAATGAAACAGTTTGTCCAACATGGCATTGTAGAACAAGTTAACACAGTGTTGAATTATAGTAAGTTAACCCTGTGTTGAATTATAGAACAAGTTTATCCAGTACTGAATTATAGTACAAGTTTACCCATTGTTGATTTATAGAACACGTTTACCCAGTGTTGAATTATAGAACACATTTACCCAGTGTTGAATTATAGAACACGTTTACCCAGTGTTGAATTATAGAACATGTTTACCCATTGTTGAATTATAGAACACATTTACCCAGTGTTGAATTATAGAACACGTTTACCCAGTGTTGAATTATAGAACACGTTAACCCAGTGTTGAATTATAAAACCAGTTTACCCAGTGTTGAATTATAAAACAAGTTTACCCATTGTTGAATAATGAAAAAAGTTGATTCATACAAGTTTACCCAGTGTTGAAAATAAAAAAGTTGATTCATTGTTGAATAGTTAAACAAGTTTACCCAGTGTTGAATTTTAGAAATAGTTGAAAAAGTGTTCAGTTATAGAACAAGTTTTAAGTCTTTCGTAACCTTCCCTTAGAACTAGAATTATATACTGTCTGTCTATATTCACATGTTCAATAATTCCTCAAGTATTTCTGTATGTTAACAACATCTTTATAATGTCCAATTGTCAATTAACATCAGTTCTACTTTCTCCTTAGCATGGTTTCTATAGACAAATTCACTATATTTCTTTTATAACACAAATTAACAGAACTGCTATGTATAAAATCAGCTGTGTACAGCTATATCACAATTTCAGCACGACATTGTAGGCATGTACATTGTACGTCATGCAAACTTAAGCTAATACACTAAATAATATAATACACTAAATAATACACACTAAATAATACACTAAATAATACACTAACTACGCATTAACAAATCAATGCAATTGATTAAACACAGACCTCCTCCTTGAGGGCATCTAGATGTGTATCATACTCAGAGATCCCTGTCCTCTGACTGTCTTCCAGGTCTTTTATTTGCTGTTTCAGACGTCCGATCTACAAAAAGAAAATTTGTGGTAAATTCATACAGAAAAGATGTTTTAAGGGAAAAACCTTAACAGCCAATCAACAAAAAATGTCATACAGGGTTAAATAGTAGAAAATAAATAACAGATCAATAAAAGCAAAAAGGAAATAGAGACAAAAAAGAGGAAGAAAATCTACATAAATTTATGTACACAAGTACCTGTAGCAACATGCTTGTATGGTAACTTAATAATAACAATATATACAATTTTAAGGTTTAAGTTAAGGTCCAATTGCTTGCAGATTTACAACACCTATACTTTCATTCTACAAGCGTCATACTGGGCTCATTTAAATCTTAAATCTGTTATAAGGGATTCCTGTCATAAGGGATTCCTACAAAATACATAAGTAACAGGGAAAAAATCTGGGATTTTTCTCCTTAGAATTAATTTGTCCCTGTCAATAGATTTTCGCATTGGAATACAATTCTTTCCCTGTCAATGGCTTTCCCCATTCAAATACATTGGTTCCTGTCAAAGGATTTTCCCATTGGAATGAATTAGTCCCTGTCAATGGATTTTCCCAGTGGAATAAATCAATCCCTGTCAATGGATTTCCCATTGGAAAACATTGGTTCTTGTCAATGGATTTCCCAGTGGAATAAATCAATCCCTGTCAATAGATTTTCCCACTGGAATAAATCAGTCCCTGTCAATAGATTTTCCCACTGGAATAAATCAGTCCCTGTCAATGTATTTTCCCATCGGAATAAATCAGTCCCTGTCAATGTATTTCCCATTGGACTACATGGGCCTCTAGCCGTACCTCAGTGTGTTTCTGCTCCAGTGTGGACCGCTGTAACAGGATCTCGTGTTCCTTCTGCAGTAGCTTGGTTTCCAGGTCCTTGAGGTCACGCTCCCAATCACCCTTCTGTGTGTCCATCATCCCATCAATGTGTGACATCAGCTCCTTAAGCTCCGACTCACAAGTCGACGTCAACACACCCTTTGGTAACCTTGATACCAAGAAAAACAGATTTCAAATGCTGTTCTTTTACTGTATTTATCATATGACTACATAAACAAATTCTCAGCATCATCCACACCTGTTTCATAAACTTACCTGTGATAACAGTACTGTACATATACTGTTAAATTTTTCCTGAACTCATTCACCCCTGAAGACACATTTGAACTCGTCTAGTTCAAAGTTTGGAATAGTTTATTATGAAATGTCAGGGGTGAATGAGTTAATTGTGCATAAATATTCTTAATATTTTATAAATGTCTTTCAGTTTTTGTCTCGTTAATCTAAACAATATCAAATTATTACAGACTGTTCAATCATAATTTACTTACTCACTCTATAGTTCGTGTCTCGAACTGAAAACTTAAAATTGAATTAAGAACCCTGTATTTGCAACTGTTACAATAATTTCATCAATTACCTGAAATGAAATCATTTTACAGAGATTAGGCCTGTGATATTTCAAATTTTATCAACCAAAACGAAGAAAGAATTTTTTAATTAAAAAGGAAAAAACAACAACATAGACATGTTATCATTACAACTAATAATTCTTAGAGGATGTGAAATCTTTACCAGATATTATAACAACTATAATATGAAATATAAAATCAGACTGTCTATAGACTAGCGTGGAAGCCATATTGAATTTACAGTGGAGCCTAATGAACGTGAACTATAATAAACAGCCACACTGATTTTTACAAAACTTTTTAATTTTGGAATTCGAATTTCCAATTTTAAACAAGGTTCCACTGATCAGATTGTGTGACCAAAATCATCAAATAAGAAGCAATGCATTTCTGGTGTCGTCAAAATGTGAACATGATGCCAAGAAAATCGTACACATAAACATGAAAGTTCAGAAAACATGATTGGTGATTTCTGTATAATTCCTGCGGAGGCCATGATGAGGTGTATAAAGCTGTTTGTGAATCACAAGCATTGCTCTCAAACTGAAAAGTGTACGAGTCAAACTTAACTCCAGAAAAACATACAAAGCCAGAAACATACACGAGCAAAAGTCACAAAAACTTAGCACTGTCCTGGATAAAAACAAATAGGCTTTGTTGAGAAACAGATGTGCACACTGAATGAACAGCAAAGTTAACTTTGAAATATATCAAAGTGTCCATCATTTCAAAACATTGCCATGCACAGAAAAAAGCTATCGTAAATTAACATAGACTGAGAGGTGGTGCTTTAATTGTATGGACATGTATGTTCTGTGTATCTTCAACATCAATAAATAAAGCTAATAGGAAACTAGACTAAGGGTGATCGATACAAATATACTACAACTTCATCATTTGTAATGGTTGTCAACACCTGAAAAGGTTGTGATATTCCCACTGACAGATACAAATATCCACAGTACCATAAAATTTATTTAAACCACAACACTTCTTTATTCAGCCTTCAAATGGCTGTTTAACAGATAAGTACATATTGCTTTCATAGTAAATTTCAAATTTTCACCTGGCCTTGTGTGACCATGAGGTCTTAAGAAATTTACAGCATTAGAACCCCATGTGTTATAAGTTTGAGTTTAACTTCTGCTGTTGGGGGTCAACTTGAGTTGGACCTTAAACAGGGACTTAAAATAACCTGGTAACTATTGGGGGTAACCATTGGGAACATTTTTGCCTCTCCACAGCTTATTGTTGTGTATATGCAATAAAACAAAATTTCAGATCATACATACCAACAAACTAATCAAAATATTCAATATTCTGTAACCATCAGATGAGCATTTCAGATTTTTCTAAACTGACAGCATTAATACGAGAAAGGGAAACTTACTGATCATAAATGGAAAGAAATATGTCCCATTAAAAAATGATAGGAAAAAAACGTTAAGATCAGGTCACAGTTAATTGGGAACAGTATTTATCATTCTACGTCTAATATGCACATACATGTATTCCGTCTTTGCGTATTGCAGAGTTATCTTCTCTTGTGAGCAGGTATTGATTGTTACATCATTGGTTTGTGTGAGAAAATTACGTCGTTTTCTCAAAAATTGATGACGTAACTCTCATAAACAAATGACGTAACAATCAATACCTGTCCACAAGAGCAGATAACTCTGCAATACGAAAAGACGGAATAAGGTAATGAAGGATATTAAGAGGTCAAAATTAATTGGGGGATAATAATATCTATTATTCTACACTTCTAATAGTATGAGGTGGGATACAGACACTATCTACTGTATAAACAAATATAACAGAAATGTATGGTGTACGTTCTAGTTATTTAAAGAAGAGTTTTAATAAAAAAGAAACAATTTTACGATTCTGGTTTACGATGAAGTTTTGGTGCAGCGTTTCTATATATATATATATACTGGTGATGCTACGCAGTGCATTCACTTAGCGACAATTGTGAAAAGATTGGTGAAATATGTAACGGGTCAGAATCAGTTATACACGACTTGTTTAACAGAAACGGTGACCAGTGAACAAAAGAAGATTTCCATTGACTGACTGATATATATATATATATAAAACCTTCCTTATTATCATGTCAGAGGTCATAATGAAAATAGGATGAAAATCAATGACAATGATGTTTCCTTGGAATCATACAATTACCCAGTATTTGGTCAGGATCTGTAAAGAATAATTATGTTTGTGAAACTGATGCTCTCCATATTTTATACGAAGAATTACTTGTCTTCAAGGTATGTTTAGCGACCCATTCCTCTAGATCTGTTGACTCAATTTTTGTGCTTCAATTCGATCTTCAATCATTAACGAACCAGTAAAAAAAACCAAGAAACATCTATTTTTTATTTAAAAGGGTAAAGAAAATTTTTAAATGTAGTTACTTGAATGTAATCAGTAAACCTTTCACACAGGAAAATTACAATACGCTATTGGTAGATTAATAGTATTGCCCATGCATGCAATATAAACCAACCACAACACACAATTGTGTAGGTACATTAAACAAGCACTAAGCAAGTAGCTTGTTGAAATGTTAATTCTGTGGTAAATAGCAAATTATTTCCTATTAAAATTAACATTATATCACATTATCTGTGGAGAAAAACATGTTTTATACAAAATAAACATAGCAACATATACTGGTATAGCATTTAAAATGTAGAACTATTCAAATAATGTAAAGACATTCTGAAAAAAATAAAGTTAAACCAACAATTCATTTTCGCAATAATGTAATATCAGAAAAGACTTTGAGCAGATTTCTGCTCTGTTTTATTGATTATTCTCATAAACTTATCTACATAAGAATAACATATAAGGGGTCAGTTTGAACTCAGCTGCTAATTTACATGAAAGCTGTCACTAATAGTTCTGTTACATCATTAGTCTAAGCTGAACAACATTACACACAACTAACACTATGTGGGACCTGAACATAACGTCTTAGAGAGCCCTCCTAAATCAGACGATGTTGTTATCACCATAACATTTACTCATTTAAAAACAAAAATGTAATTTCATTACGTTACATGTATCATATCAAACAAATTATTGAATTTACATTATATATCACACTTTCTTTACTATGAAAAAAACCCAAACAGTTTACAAATATGCCCCCCCCTCCCCACCTCTCTATTTTGGGCTTATAACAAGGCATACATGCTAACCACTGTATACATTAATCCCATCCAGCAAAACATATAAGAACCAGTTAATAGATGGCTCAACCCAGCAAAAACAAATGTTAATAAAAAAAATCCAAAAGTACATTTTATATTTCCAAAAGTACATGTACATTTCATATTTGACCTAATAAGGGTGCCAGGCCTACGTTGATTGGGAATATTTTACTTATTATTTAAACACGCTTTTCCTCAAACTTTTTTTTGTATTTAAATATTTTTCCTTAAAGAAATTAAGGCTTTTAATACCATTCCCATATATCATTATGAAAGACTGCAATTTTGTTACCATATATCATTATGAAAGACTGCAATTTTGTTACTATCAGAAGATGATCCGACACAGTGCATTTTTTATGTTGGAAATAGCCGTATGAACAAACTCTATATTTATGAAATATTTGGAATGTAAAAAAATATGTACATTAAAGTTATATATATATATATATACAATTCCTTGGGGTCCCTCATTAGAGCAGCAATACATGTATATTGTCTTCAAAACTGTCTGTAACATTTACGCTTTAAGTTACCTGAAAGTTTGTAAGGAAAATTTTGGATGCTAAATGCATTATGAATATCTATGATCTGCCTGGCTGGACTCACACAGACTACGATCAGGTCCCACATAATGAGAAAGGGGAAGTCACTACAACAATATAGGCTAGGTGACTTACCTAACAACGCTTTGTGCGTTTCACGCAATTTTGACACAGCTAAAACAGTTGTTTACAGACATTCACATACATGTGACACAACAACCCCAATACTAATCACACATCCCTTACTGACTTTTAAACATAGAATAAGATTCACATTGACATAAAAAAATAACTTAGAATAATATACATTGATTAGAAACCTAACACTTCAACAGTCCACTAGTCAGCGACTAGAGAATTTCAGTACCGACAATACAAGTAAATCGCTTTCTTTTGTGAAGTTTTAGTTCTTTCAACTTGAAAATTTATATCAAAAGTACTTTCTCTTTCAAAAACTTTTTAAAAATACAGAAATACTGAATGATAATAACTGTAAAAAAAACCTAGAACATCATCAAACTTATATATGGCAATTGGAGGGGTTTATGTCCCTACAGGTGTTTTTTTCTATTTTAGGCTGATGATGTTACTTTCAGGAAATCTTGGCCTATTTACTTTTAAGTAGGACTATCAAATTTGTTTTTCTTTCAAATAGTCATATGGACTAGTATCAAACAAACATGCTGTCTAACTTTATCTACACCATAATATCGTCTCCCCATTTAATACACCGACCCCCGACCCCATCCTAACATCTACATTATTAAGCAAACATAGAGACAGCACAGTTTCTCCTTTACAGACATCTTAATCACGCTTTATTAATTTTCCTTAATAACTTTCATAGATACAGACGCTTCAATTGCATTGCCATGAAATCCATCAGTATAAGTCGTTCTCAGAACTTTGACAAGAGTAAGATCAACTTACAATGTACTAGCTGTGGGTATAAAGATGAAATTTGAAATCTTTACAGCTTTGGAACCAAAGGTACTTGAACATATCAGTGATAACATCCATTACAATATCAATTTATGCAAAGTGAAACTTCAGAGTCATTTCAAAGCTGTAGGTATACCAAACTATGGGATAGTATTTGATAAATTGTCTTGACACACCCACCTTTTGGCTTATATGATCTATTTTCACAAAACAGTCTATGTCCATACAGGGCAGAAACCTGAGGATCTGTGCCAGGGTTACCATTTATACCTACATTGTATATATAATCTACCAAAACCAGTATTTATTTAATGAGATGCCTATCATGTATATTCTAGTTATGTATGAAAGGACATGAGAGTAATCTGACCAGTCCGTCCATCTCTGACGACATGTGTGTACTTGTCTCATCTACAAAGGATTTCTATAAATGTTTTCACATTCATTCAGGGATTATCACAAATATTTAAACTTCTAGTTACAGTGACTTAAATTGACAGATATCTATCTATCTATGTGTGTGATTTCATGTGGAACTAAATACATCATGCTTACTCCCGAGATTTACCCGAAGCACTACTAGAGATTTAAAAGACACTCAATGATAAATATCTAGTCCAAATATATTAAAATTTAGATAAAAACTTAAATCAGTGAAAATATTGGTTTTGAAAAGGCGTCAACAATATATTTCAAGTTTAAGTTGTGAAAACAAATACATGTATGACAATGAAGTTATCTAAATTGTAAAATATTTTTTACCATTTCATTTACATGAAAAATTACTGAACAATACTGATATATATATGTTATATATATTGTATGTAGTCTTCAAGAGTCTTGCATAAAAATAGCAACAAAGGGAAAGATAAAAACAAACCTACAACAAGTATATTCCTTTACACCCTCTCTTTACTTTCAAAATAACACACATCTAAAACTTCAAAAAATGCTTCTAAAATTCCATGATGTTTAAATTCCAAAACTTACCCACAACCAAATAAAAACTATGTTATATTTATAACCCTCCACCACAGTAACAACCCAACCTACATACCAACAGTGAAACAACGGATAGTCCTACCTGTTTTGATGCTGCAGTTCTGTCCACATACTGGAAATCCTTTCCATTATTATTTCCTGTCTGTTGTCCACATTGGTGTCAGAAAGGAGAGTCTTAAAAAACTCTCTGTAGGCTGTAAAATCATATTTCTGTACGTTATCATCAATGTTGCTCCAAATTTAATTTCTGTATTCAGTCAGATTATCAAAATGTAAAACATTGATGAACAGTGATGCTTATTGTCTACATTTACAAAAAAATAAAATCATTTTAAAATCTTTAAATCAAGATGAGATGTTGCATTCTTCAGGTATAGGAATATTAGACAATTGATATTGTTAGGGGGATTGAATGGACACCTCTATTTGTTTTTTGTGACTTTTAATTATCCTGATTTTCCCTCTATCGCCTCTTCTAGTACATAAATATTTTATTTGTAATGGGAGAATAAATTGAAACCTTAGTTACAAACATGCAGTTTTATCTCTTGACTTAAATAGTCAGTGCATGATCTCTGTTGAGTTTACATAAACTTGAGCATATCCAATCATTTTCATAGCTAATAATTCATAACTCAGGGACTTGTTTAAAGTACTGACTGTACTATTATATGCCTAGTGAAGTTTTCTAAATCCAAATTAAATCAGTTGTATTGCAAATAAAATTTATATAATTAGTTAATTAAGTACATAACTACTTTTTGATTTGCAACTATTTTTCAGAGTTGACACCAAGTCTTCCTATTGTAGGGAAATAAAAAAAAGTCCTTTAAAAGTTCCAAGTGGTTAAAAACATAAATTTTAACAATGCTTGCCTTAATAATTCCAAATCATTTAAAATTCATACCACTAATATTTAACTGAAATATTTTAATATTTGACAGCTGTTCTTGTTCCATCATCAGACCATGTGCTCCGTGTTTAATGTTTACATCAGTGATCTAAAAAAAATCTACAAAAATATCTACCAGTATTTATTCTAATACCATAGGTTATATTTAACTGCCGCATGAATGCATATCAAATATCTAATTGTTGCAGATGTCATTATCATATGTATATAAGATTTTATATCAAATGTTGTTCATTGAATCGATCGAAGACAGAATCACAACTGATTGTCGAAGTGCCAAAAGCATTGTATACAGACAATAGCAGCCACTCAACCCATTAACTTATCAATCGACCCTCGCAAAATGTGTATCTGTGTGTATTGTAAAACAAAAATAATAACACGTGCAAAATCTTACCTTCGCTTCTAAACATTGTCATAGTTCTAGTCAATTTAGTAGCATGTCAGTCGGGGAAAAGATGGGAAACACTTTTGAAACTTTATCTTTGTTTATTGAAAAACATGTTGTTACCTGTTCACTGTCATTTTTGAACATGACATTTCTTGCTCTTTGCATCTGAACAATGTTAGTCAGTGGGGAGGTATAAATGGGGCATTGTGAGATTTGTGAAAGTGATGAAGTTGAAAAAATCAAAAAGTGTGTAAACGTGCTTAATGCCTAAATTCTTACCCAAATGAACATTTGGAGTTCAACCTATGCAGACAAACCGCGCGCCGGAGTAAACAAATTCGTTGGTACCGTAAAACGGTCTGCTTCCTGTCAATGTTGTAAAATTAACGCTTGCGCTCTTTTGTTTTTGTTTACTTCCGGGGCGGATCTAGCAGACGGAAAAGTTAGGATTTACCTGAAAAATGTTGCTTATATTTGATGACAAGCACAAGGAACACCTTTCCTTTTTAACAGACACAGAGACTGATGGTAAGAACATTTCTGCTGTAGAGCATAATAGCTCAACGCTTGTGATTAACAACTGGGAATGAACTCATGTGACCATCATCACCATCATGATAGATAATGAGCTGCCAATGAAACTATTTTGTCAGTTCAACAGTTGTCACCCTTCCAGTCCCTATGCAGTTATTCCTCTCTCATAATAAGTGCTCTTTTTTTTTGTAAAATAAATACCCTTATGGCCTACCGTTACGAATATAACAACCCCCAGAAGTTAGAGATATGTCAGAGGCATTCTCTCTCAGGATCACACCTATATATACACCTATAAATATAATCCTGGTGTATTGACAGACGAGGCTAGTACCTGTGTCAGGATGGAACAGGCATATTATTGTAGCAGGTTTTAATTGTACCTACGATTAGGTCGCCATCTAGCTTCGAGCTAGAGGGAATTTCCCTTTAGCTCAGTGGTAGAGCTTCCGACAAGGAATCTTCACCCTCGAACACCACAATCCTGGTTCAAGCTATCACCCTGTCACCACAGGGAGGGCCACATCACGGACACCATTTGTAACGGGAAAGAGAATAGTGTGCCTTTACCAGGGATTGAACCCTCGATCTCCAGCAGGTTCCTAGTCGGACATTCTACCATTGAGCTAAAGGGAAATTCCTTCTAGCACAAAGCTAGAATGTGTGACCTTAATCCTATGTACAATTAAAACCTGCCACATAATGTAAGATTTCCCACACAATGATATATATTGTCAATACAGAAAAAGAAAGTATGGGAATAATTTCGACTTCATCTATGCATTTTACTCAAGTTTTGTCGTAAAAATAGCTCTACAGAGCTCTACAAACATCATGCTTGACATGGGAATACACAAACCTGGATTGGGTTGAGTTGTAAATAGTTGGGTCTTCGGGGGCGAAGAGGTAGACAAATGAGAATGGAGTGTAGTGAAAGTGGACTGGGCCAATTGTCAGCGACCAGGTAGCTCAGTTGATTGTGTCTTTCTACAGTATGGATGGTCCCAGGTTTGAACCCGTTCTGGCCGTGCATTTTTGAAGCTGTATTTTATGGCCCATCAACACAAAGGTAATACAAGGGCAAAAATGAATAAATGGCCAAATAACAGATGTAAAGGGACTTCCAAGGAAGTTAAAAAGGATGTAAAATGTACAGATACCTGATGCAAAGTTTTACTTAAAGCTTATCAGAGGACTATATATATACATCTGCTGATCTAGTTCTCTGATAGGGAGCTCCAATCATATGTTGTATTAGAGGTATTGCTTCCATCCAGATTCAACAGAGTTTAAGGTATGCATGTCAAACTTTACCTTGATGGAATAAACTCCCTCCTGATATTTTGTCTAGCATGACAACTTTTAAAATTCAAGTATCTACCGTCATTTTCTAAACACAAATTTAAATATTATCTGTCAAAAAAAAAGAGCATGATTCATCTCTCCATCTAAACCCTCATCTGACCTCAATCTTTAAATTGTTGAAGTTGGTTAATATCCTATAGAAGAAGTGAAAAAAGTCGGCCTCATGTGATTTTGGGGCATCATGTCTACTTCGGTTACAAAAGAGATATACCTCTGACAGCTGCCACAACAATATATGCTAAAATAAGTTCCAGACTGCATGTTTGTGAAAGGTGTGAAATTTTTGACAATTTCTGTTCAAATTTATCAATCTCACACTTCTGCGAAGTTGACTTGCTAATGATTTGTAATTATATAACATGAGAGAAACAAGAGGCACAATGGGCCTGAATCGCTCACCTGGTATTAATTTCACACTTGTTATCTTAAAAGTGGACTAAAATACAACTACAGGCAGAATATCGGTGTTTGATTAATAAGAACCTATTGAAAGATTTAAACATATGACACCCGTGACCATGAATGTCGACAAGGACATTAGGTTGAACAGAATTTATAGTCTTCCAACCCAGCATGCTTCTAGCAAAATATCATTACCCTGGACTTTTTGGTTATACAGAACAAATCATTTAAAGATTTAAACATATATTGACCACTGTGACCTTGAATATGGGTGAAGGTTATTCATTTGAACAAAATTGGTAACCCTTCATCCCAGCATGTTAATGGCCAAATGTCATCACCGTAGGCCTCTTGGTTATTCAGAAGAAGTGGTTTAAATGTTTTCAACATATTTGACCCCAGTGACCTTGAATATGATTCAAGGTCATTCATTTGAACAAACTTGGTAGCCCTTCCATCCAGCATGTTATTGGCCAAATATCATTATCCTAGGCCTCTTTGTTATTCAGAAGAAGTTGTTTAAAGGTTGTATACATATTTGATCCCTGTGACCTTGAATATAAATCAAGGTCATTTATTTAAACAAACTTGGTAGCCCTTCATCCCAGCATGTTACTGGCCAACTATCATTATCCTAAGCCTTTTGGTTACTGAGGAGAAATTGTTTAAAGTAAAAAGTTGACGCCGGACGATGGCCGGACGCCAGACGCCGCACCATGGCATAAGCTCACTTGGCCCTTTGGGCCAGGTGAGCTAAAAACAGACAGGGATTCAAACCAAGGACCTCCAAACTCTAGATGCACTGTACCATTGAGCTACTTGGTCACTAGTGATTGACCCAGTCAAATTTTGCTACATATACCATTACACCGGAAGGATTCCCCACCTCAGCACCCACCCTTATGAACACATAAACTTCCAATTCATGTCACTGTGACTTTCTTTCAGAAACTTTTATCCCAGGAACAATGTACTTAGAGAAGCATTCAGGTGTAACAGGGTAAATGTTTTGCTGCTGTTATCCTCAAAGCACTAAAAGGCAAAGAGAATAATAGATGATCCCATTTGCTATATTGAGAGAGTTAAATGTCTATTTTACCAATTTGAATTTAGTGATACAATTGAAACAAACAATAAGTACTTTTCAATTTCTTCATTGTAGTTGTGCGTGAATTTTGCAAGATAAGCATGGAGTTTATAAGGAAAGGTTCGAATAGAAAAATCTACCAAGGAGCTGCTCGTAAGTATATTTAATTGTGACTAAAATCGATCATGAATTCTGTAGTCGATTAATCAGTAATTGGTCTAACTGAACAATATATTGTCAACAAAGTTGATTTATTGGAGCATCATAATAAAGTTGTAATATTTTATAATAGAAAACTAAAATTTGTAATAATGATAAGGCAAAGATGTTACCTAAAACCTCCAAACTTTACTAGTCAATCCGGTTTTGCTTTATTTTACAGAAAAACTCAAAGTTGATGTTGAAACAGTACAACACGGAGTGGAGGGGTTAATGTATCTGTTAACAGAGTGTTCCAAACTAATGGTAGGTACATTACACTTAAGGATCCCTGTACCACTGATGGTAGGTACATTACACAAGGATCCCTGTACCACTGATGGTAGGTACATTACACTTAAGGTTCCCCATACCACTGATGGTAGGTACATTACATTTAATGATCCCTGTGCCACTGATGGTAGGTACATTACACTTCATGATCCCCGTACCACTAATGGTAGGTACATCCACTTAAGGATCCCCGTACCACTGATGGTAGGTACATTACACTTAAGAATCCCTGTACCAGTGATGGTAGGTACATTACACTTAAGGATCCCTGTACCAATGATGTTAGTTACATTACACTTAAGGATCCCCGTACCACTGATGGTAGGTAGATCCACTTAAGGATCCCCGTACCACTGATGATAGGTACATTACACTTAAGGTTTCCCATACCACTGATGGTAGGTATAGTACACTTAATGATCCCCATATCACTGATGGTAGGTACATTACACTTAAGGTTCCCCATACCACTGATGGTAGGTACATTACACTTAACGATCCCCGTACCACTGATGGTAGGTACATTACACTTAAGAATCCCTGTACCAGTGATGGTAGGTACATTACACTTAAGGATCCCCATATCACTGATGGTAGGTACATTACACTGAAGGATCCCCGTACCACTGATGGTAGGTACCTTACACTCAATGATACACATACCACTGATGGTAGGTACATTACACTTAACGATCCCTGTACCACTGATGTTAGTTACATTACACTTAAGGATCCCCGTACCACTGATGTTAGTTACATTACACTTAAGGATCCCCATACCACTAATGGTAGGTACATTACACTTAAGGATCCCCGCACCACTGATTGTAGGTACATTACACTTAAGGATCCCTGTACCAATGATGTTAGTTACATTACACTTAAGGATCCCCGTACCACTGATGGTATGTACATTACACTTAAGGATCCCCGTACCACTAATGGTAGGTACATTACACTTAACGATCCCCGTACCACTGATGGTAGGTACATTACAATTAAGGATCCCCGTACCACTGATGGTAGGTAGATCCACTTAAGGATCCCCGTACCACTGATGATAGGTACATTACACTTAAGGTTTCCCATACCACTGATGGTAGGTATATTACACTTAATGATCCCCATATCACTGATGGTAGGTACATTACACTGAAGGATCCCCGTACCACTCATGGTAGGCACATTACACTCAATGATACACATACCACTGATGGTAGGTACATTACACTTAAGAATCCCTGTACCAGTGATGGTAGGTACATTACACTTAAGGATCCCCGTACCTCTGATGGTAGGTACATTACACTTAAGGATCCCTGCTCCACTGATTGTAGGTACATTACACTTAAGGATCCCTGTACCACTGATGGTAAGTACATTACACTTAAGGATCCCCGCACCAGTGATGGTAGGTACATTACACTTAAGGATCCCCGTACCTCTGATGGTAGGTACATTACACTTAAGGATCCCCATATCACTGATGGTAGGTACATTACACTGAAGGATCCCCGTACCACTCATGGTAGGCACATTACACTCAATGATACACATACCACTGATGGTAGGTACATTACACTTAAGAATCCCTGTACCAGTGATGGTAGGTACATTACACTTAAGGATCCCCCTACCACTGATGGTAGGTACATTACACTTAAGAATCCCTGTAACACTGATGGTAGGTACATTACACTTAAGGATCCCCCTACCACTGATGGTAGGTACATTACACTTAAGAATCCCTGTACCACTGATGGTAGGTACATTACACTTAAGGATCCCTGTACCACTGATGTTAGTTACATTACACTTAAGGATCCCCATACCACTAATGGTAGGTACATTACACTTAACGATCCCCGTACCACTAATGGTAGGTACATGACACTTAACGATCACTGTACCACTGATGGTAGGTACATTACACTGAAGGATCCCCGTACCACTGATGGTAGGTACATTACACTCAATGATACACATACCACTGATGGTAGGTACATTACACTTAACGATCCCTGTACCACTGATGTTAGTTACATTACACTTAAGGATCCCCGTACCACTGATTGTAGGTACATTACACTTAATGATCCACATACCACTGATGGTAGGTACATTACACTTAAGGATCCCCGTACCACTAATGGTAGGTACATTACGCTTAACGATCCCTGTTCAACTGCCAAGAACTGTTACTATCCATTGAAAAATTTGTTTCCGGCATGTCTATAGCTCAATATGTCATTTTCGAAATGAAAACCGTGAAATTCTACCTGCTGTGAGATAGAGATCTTCAAATCAACGAACTGATTGTATCTGTTACCAAAAGGATTCCCATGTGGAACACATTCATTTCACAGTTATATTCTAACAAGTAGAAAAGCAGTTATTTCTAAGTTATACATCCTCAATATCCAGGGGTTATGCTCACATTTTTCGCTCTCTACATCCCTGGAATATGTCATAGCAAAAATGAAGGCACGCGGCTAGCTATTTGATTGGTGTCAGGTAAAAATTCCTGACCAATCACTAGGCTAATGCTTGTTCTTTGAAGATTACAGAGGTGCAATGCCTGACTTCAAGTCCAGAAAGTTTTACCTTTATGCGACGGCGCTATTCTTTTGATGTACATCAAAGGATCAAACTAGTCTTCTCGTCTCGTCCACACCGAGCCTTCAATTTTTCTATGACATGTTCCAGGGATTGCAGAGAGCGAAAGTGAGCGTAACCCCTGGATATCGAGGATGAAAGTTATAGTACAATATAGGGAAAATGTTATGACAGTTCCATGTTGTAATTTGCCAATTACTTTTCAAAAACAAACAACTCTGTGTTGTAATTTGCCAATTGCCTTTCAAAAACAATTTGTTTTGCATTCAAAATATGGTTAAATTGCAAAAATGTTAATTGCTGGTATGCAAGTGAGATTTAACGGTTATAAGACATCACTAAAAATTGGAAAACAAGTGCTTTTGGAATGAAAGGGATATTGAAAGGAGTATTTACATCAGATAGGTAACTGAAAATTCACTGTTCTATAAGCAGTAATTCAGGGGATAGGGATCAAGTTATTGGAGTTGGGAGGGTGTATTTAATGTTTGTTGCACTATAACAGTTTGACCTGATATGCACTGTCTAAATGGTTCTAATGATATAATCATTTCAAGAAAATTCATCTTTTTTTCAGTTGAATGAGATAGATTTCCAGGACTCTATCCTGACTCTGGGTTTCTCTGAGGACATGAGGCAGACTCTACTGGAACTGTACCTACAAAACCGACGCGAGATCCGTGCCATCATGTCAGAAATGGCAATGGACCTACCTCACTACCAGAACCTAGAGTGGAGGTTTGATGTTCAGGTAAATCAGTCCTGTTTTTTTTTTACACAAGTAAAAGTAATAGTTTGCAACATGTACATAGAGTGGCCCCCTTCTCTAGAATATTTAGAGAAAAAAATATTCTACTAGTAATTTGATCACTTGGATGTCTGATTTTAGATTCCGAAGTTCCAAACTAGGGGAGATAAGCTAGTAGTAAAATGCAGTTGAGAGAATCTTCAGAAAAAATTAGGGGCTGGTAACCAGTCTATTTGCTACATTACAATCATGATAAATATCAATAATATCTTTGACATTGACATTATTAAAATTTAACTTTACTTACCATGAATGACATCTTTGTAGCTAATTTATATGAATGTTGTACATTATTATTCAATATTTATGTGTAGTCTGTCTGTCCATCCACAATTCTATTCCTTCGATAATTTCAGAATCTGGAAGAAGAACATTTCTTATATTTCACATGATGTTACACTATCATATGTTGATGTGCAATAGGGGTGTTACAAGTTCCCAAGGTTAAGGTCACTAAAAGTAGAAAGGGAGGATATATACCGTAATTTAAAAAAAAACCGATTTTGACCTGCCAGTATTTATTTTGGTGGGTAATTTGGATATAAATGTGAATAATACAATACTACCAGGATCTCAAGATTTATGATAGCTGCTACTCAAGGTTTGTCCTTTCTGATATATATGCAACTATAAGGTTTGATTAATTGGTACCAAATAAGCACCCTATCCCATTAAGAAGAGTATATCCTTTTCTGGTCCGGGCATCCCATCCCTTTACCATAATTATATACCAACTTTCATAAAAAAAATTCCTATTATGACCATTTTGTTTATTTAGTCTTATTATGGTAAGGACATTTTATTTGCATCCTATAATAAAAAAGACTGCTTTGTGTCTTCTTATTGGCTGAGAGCTTTGATTTCATTTTTGTTCAAACTTACTGTTAAATGGTACTTGTTGGGACTACATTGGTGTGTAATTCTTTATCATATTCAAATACCAAGGTGATCACTATAATATCTGCAAATATGGGTATCATATACTGTCAGACACATGATTTGGCCCTTTCCTACCTGTCAGTGATCTAGATTTTACTTCCATCGAAAAACATGAACAAAATCTAACTAGTATATCATGAAAACACCTTTTATATCCAATGGAAATTAAACATATTTTGTATCAGATATTTTGAATTTCAAGTTTGTTTATAAATAGTCCAAACAATTTCAATATGATATTACTGTACTGCATATATATCATTACAGCTTGCAAGTCGCTCTCTCAGACGACAAACTACACCCGTGGTGACATTTAAACTTCACATAGATGATGCGGGGGAACGCGAGACAAAGGTGTTACAGACAGACCCAGTCAACCTAGTTCATCTCACGAAGGTGCTGGACGAGGCTCTACAGGAGATGAAGTCACCATACTGTCGAAGAATTGCGCGAAATATCAAGTGAACATTGTGAAAAATACTTTTAAAGTTATATTTTCATGAGGCTACAATGAATGACAATAAGCTGGAGAATTCAGTATGAAGAACAGAATTTACCATGACAATACTAATAAGATTGTACTGTGGATAGACCATACAGGAAAAAAATCTTTTAATAATGATACAATATGTATTTTTGCCCTAACTGTAGGGAAGCATGAATATTCTTGGTTTGTCAGAGGTTGATCATGTTTCACAAGGACGAAGCCGGAGTGAAACATGATTAATCAAGGAGAAACAAAGAATCGTGATTCCCTTCTGCAGGGGAAATGAATATTTCTATTATGCAGAGAAAAAAAAACATTCAAAAAAAATAACACCATATGATCAGGTTGATGTGCCATTGTTGTGAACATGAACATAATATTGTATTGCCCTGTCACGTGACGAGTATCATCCAATCATACATGCGGTTATAAAGTTGAGGTAAAATAATGTATTTTGTATAGTATGGCTTTTTGGATGGTAAACTGGAATCATCATGTCCACCTGTCCATCTATAGGGGTAATCTGGTCCAGACAATTAAGTTATCATCACACATGAATAAAACTGGTCCCTGTTTGTAGTTCTGTGTTTCATCTGTACAGGGTCTGTGAACAGAGTTATTCCCCTTTAAGCAATCAGTCAGTCAGGTAACTAGTTCCTCATGATCAGATTCCATAACATATGTTCTACAAAATTATAAGCTTAACTGAATTCAAATGCATTTAAACATGTGCAATAGAAATAGAGATCATGCATGTCATGTGATATTTGATGAGCGTTACTTCCCTTTTGTATCAATTTGTGTAACTTTGACAGATTATCATGGATGTGTAGGGATTAATTGTAGTTGAACAACTAGTTTTAGGAGAACAAAACCAGGGATACTTCTCTTTTGTTTCTGCTGTTACTTTTCTTTCAAAGGCTAATTATGAAACCATGCTTGTGTGAGAAATCTGTTGTTAAAGATTGTTATGGGATGAAAATGTAAATATTGAAATATTCATCTTGTTCTTTAATTATTTGTCACCAAGCTTTGCAGCATCACTTTTCCAGGTATGGTTGTCTTTCTCTGAGTGATCAGTACTTTAAAATGTCCTGCTCAGTAATGGTACATTCATGGAATCCTTCATAACAGCATATATATGTAAAAGATACATCTCCAGCACACACATAGGGAGATATTAGCCAGGTGGCATAGGACTAGTGAGTTAGCGCCTGATAAGCAGCTCCTGCGAATTCCTCAAAATCGTATTGATTGACGTACAGGTATATGCTAATTGTATTGATTGTATATCCATGTACTGTGAAGCGCTTTAAGAGTGGCTTATGTTAGCTAAATAGGGACACTATATCAAATGCTGTATATCATAGAGATGGTGTCAGTATAGCTTGGTTTAATTTTAATTCCAAAGGAAAAGAATACAAGTATGAGTGAATGGTGTTTGATTGTAGGTTGTTATTTTGATGAATTTTTGAGTGTCGGTATGGTGACCATTTATTGAAAAGATTGTAAGAGTCAGCATCAACTATACAGAGTAAGTGACTGATCATGAGGTGGCAAGATAAATTGACTGACCAGAGATAAGATTGAAATGGATTTTGGCAAAATGCTTATTTCATTTGAATATTTGATTAAGTACTATGCATTAACATATTTTTATGAAAATGAAAATAAATATTTTTTATACAAAAAAATGTTGTATTTTTTTTTTAAGATTAACAATAAATCATTAATATATGCCTGTCAACATTTCTATCTGTGTGACTGTGACATATACTATCTTTGAGTCACTAAGGAATTAGGTCTGTAAAGTATAGGGCCCTAACACAGCTGTATATGACATACCTGTATACTTTGTCGAGTGTGACTGGAAATGTGCAAGTCCAGGTGGGATGCTTGGAACTCCAGCAAGTTCACAGAGTTGATTATTCCATTCTACAGTGAATGCAGCATGTACACTAGAACAGACACACATAGCAGACTGCTTATATGAGGGTTACACCAACTAAACCTAAAAAATATCTCATCCCAAGGGTTGAGATATGTCTGTCTACATCACACAGGAGTGATTGATTATTTTTCTCCCAACATTTTCATACCGTAAAAAAGACCTTCACTGCGAAGTTGTTTCATCAATTAAATTCATCAACAATTCTTCCCTTTTCACCATTTTTTCCTACGGCAACATATTTGCCTATTTTGAACTGTCGGAATGCTGAGCTTGCCATGTTTTGTTTAAAAAGTGATGATGTTATCGGTTCTGCTAAAAGTGCACAGGGTCACAGGTCATGTTGAAAGAAGTATGTTGTCTGTGACGTAATATCGTGTGTCAGCTGTCTTGATCGGGGTAGATCAAGACAGGTTTATCTTTTCCCTTCCAAAAACGTGAATGTACCTGTGAAGTGTGGGAGAACAACTTATCTCTACCGGGCCTAGCTAGCTGATTAGGCTCCAGGACTAACAGTTTAACGTCATGGTCAGCCATCACAGAGTGGGATCCACAGAACAGATCAAGATTTCGCATCTTTTGTAAAGATTATGAGGAACCATTAGCTAACACAGTTAACCGTGACTTCTGTCGGAGGTTTGACCAGAAGTGTTGGAACACAGGGTTCTATAGCCATGGTACAAACAGTACTTACTCTGGTGCTGCTACTGTACATGTGACAGCATATATATGACCATTGTGACCTTGAAAATGTGTCGGTCATTCATTTGAACAAATTTAATAGTCCTTCATCAAAGCATACTACCCTAGTAATGGCCAAATATCATCACCTTAGGCCTCTCAATTATTCAGAAGAGGTAATTTATAGAAAAGGGTTGAGAAAAATATGACACACTGTCACATATGCTTAAGCTTTGACCTTTCGGCCAGGTGAGCTTATAACTCAAAGTTAAGAAAAGAAAACTTGATTTACAGTATGAGATAATATCATGAAGTATAATCACTTCTCTATTGGCATAAAGGAATGACTAGAAAATATATGTAAAATACCATATCAAACAGGAAATAACAACTTCGTAATCCAATAACCATTTTTTATTTTAGCAAGAACAATAATATATAAATGTATGTTGCACATTAACATTTAAAACTTTGGAAAAATACTTCAAACTTCAACAATACATCAACACATGTACAGCTGCTATTTATACGAGTTACAGTACTGGTATTAAACAACCTGTAAACAAAAACTGAAGACTTCCCATACAAAACATGCAGATACAGACTATATAATAATGTATGTAAATTATTTTCTTACCATTTTTTTTTAAAAAGATAGTAATATCATTCATTAGTGAATATTTTGACAGAAAGTATAATTTGAGCAAATCCAGATTTCTAAATTTAAGATTGTCATATGTTGAACTAGACTGGCCCCCATCTCCAGAATATTGAATTATTTAGAAAAAAAATAACTCTTATAATTTTGATCACTTGGATGTCCGATTATTAACTAGGGGGAGATAAGCTAGTAGTAAAATGCAGTTGAGAAATTCTTCATAAAAACTTAGGGGCTGGTAGATATAGCCAGTCTAAAATTGAACTTACATTATGATAATTAAGGAAGAAAATCTTACCACTAACAAAACTTTGTGCAATATAGTAACACAAATTCATGTGTTTGATTAAGATTTGTGTAAGACTATTATATATACCAAATAGAATCTATAAAAATAGAAAATTTTCATAAATGGGGATGATATCAAGGTTGAGGTAATTCCAAAAGAGAAGGACATTGAGGAACGCCAGGTTGAAGAAGTTTCTGGTATCAAGCCCCAGAAATCACATTTTTATAAATTTGTTAATGGTTTGTGTCTTAAATTAAGAAAGGAACATATATAATTAATGAAATAAAAATATCTCAACTATTAAGAAATAATAATAAATTTTAAAAAATCTCATCAGTCACAATGAGTATTTTCTCTCTTAAATTACCAGGTAATTTTACATGTATAAACTTATTTAAAAGGTAAAACAAAACATATGCACCTTGAACCAGCTAATAATTGATTCATTAGTTAGTTTCTAATAATGTCAAAAGGTCACTTAAAATTACTTGGAACGTAGCGATTTTTGTATATTTCTTTTTTAAGTAATTCTATGATTTTCTCAGTAATTTTATGAAAGTTTTGAATGCAAGAATATGCATGTTTGATTTGTGTAGTTTTAGATGTCTGATGATTAAATTTGAAATTATAACAGCATACATTCTAATTTTTCCCCACTTGTATTTTATCAAGGTTAATGGCCAAACAAAAAACTATAGTTGTGTTTCCAGCTTCTGCTTCAAAAAACAGTAGGTAGCTATATATAGGTTCCAATAGTGGATTGAACACACATGTACACTGTATCATGATAGCATTTATTCACAAGATTTATTCATCGATCCTTAGAACATAGATTATGCATTGCATTAAATGCATGTACTTTATTGGGAATAAGTTGAAAATATATATATTTTTTTTAAAAAGGTACCCATTGATGTCATATAAACTTCCAATGAATTAGTGAGCCGTCCTTGTATTATATATAAAACAGTTCTTATATTACCACATATACTCTTAATATTTCAGTTGATCACAGACTCAAATACAAATGTAAACCATTTTCCTTGAATATGTTTGTATTTAACTTTGTTAACACACATACACATACACAACCACATACAACGCTAGGAGACGTACAGTGCCACATGTAAGTATATGTTGTAATCCAGGCAAACTGCTGCCAGAACGTCTACACCATTTTCTCATGGTATCAATGTACACATTTGTATTAGGTAGATATGTTCAATACAGAGCTGTTACTCTTCACTTTTATCCACTTCATCATGTACTAAGCACCAAAATCGATTCCCGTGACAACCAGAGCTACATCATGATCAGGGTGTGTAGATTGTGGGATAGCAGTGTTGATCATGCTGTGCCAGGTCTGGAATTGATGAAGACATAGACGGAGATGATTGCTGCTAAAACAACCAAGGTTGGAATGACCACTGTTAACATTTTCTCTCTGTTTTGTACATTGTCTCCTCTTCTTTCTCTTCTCTCCTTCTTGCTTTCCTTTACTTTCCCTTTAAGCTGCCTCATCCTTGTCTGGCAAATCTGAGCAGTTCAGCATCAATGTTGATCTTCAATTGTTTTACGTCTTACTTTATACAGTAGGTCACTAATTACCTACAAAAAAAGAGAAAATCACAATTTATGTATATAATTCAGAAAAAACAACTTTCCCTATTCTGGAGCTCAACTCCTGATTCTGTATTTTCAACCAATGAATATGCTTATTAAACTGTTTCCATATTCTAAGCTCTATACAGTCACGATTTCACCTCAGATGTAAATATGCAATTTTAAAGTAGTTTTTTTCCTAGGGTGTCACAATTTTATAATATATTTTTTTAATTTTGAGCATGGATTTTCAAAGGGTTGGCAATTGCAAGTATAATATATATATATATATATGCCAGCAACATTTTGGCATTGCAAATGGGTTTTAGATACATTGTCAAGGGCTAGATAAAAGGAAACAGTGACACTGAAATATTATCGCGGCATATAAAGTCATGAATATGAATATTTCTTATTGAGTATTTGTATGCATCTATTTTGTAGAAAAGTATCAGCCCAAGTTTCCTCTGGCCCTGACACCAGACTTAGACGTCTATCTGTTTAAATGTCTAAGTCTAGATCTGGTGTCAGGGCCAGAGGAAACTCGGACTAGAAAAGTATGAGCCGTGTTTCTGTATAAGTAGTGTAGCTTGCTGGTCATCTAAGATTGTGTACATCATGTTTGTAAATTACTCTTATAACATTAGCTGCGATAACGTAGCTTTCTGATGATGATTTTTTTTTTATGTATTGGCAGAGGAGGCCGGGTATTATAATATTAGTACTACTATAACGTAATTATAAGAGACCACAGGTCGGCCTTTTTTCTATCGAATATGGTTTTGCGGACTGCAACACCTGTCAAAAGTATTTTGTTGTGTAAACCTGGAACCTCTCACACTAAGTCTGTAAATGAGCATGCATGCTATGCTATTTTATGTATTTGTGTGTGATGTACCGTGCTGCTCTTCTTCGTACTTTTTCTAACGGCCTAGTATAGCAAATATGCAATATCAACGTTGCACTTCACCCCATCGTGGCATATGATAACTACATTCAGGTTCAGTACACTCTGACGATTGAGATATATAGCTGTAAAGACCTATTAAAATAGCTCTATTGACCTATCTGAAATAGGTCTTTTTGAGCTATTTTCATGTGATTCTCTTTTTTAAAGAAAACAAAACAAAGTCGCTTTTTAAAGAAGATTTTATCATTAGGTTGATAACAAGACATTAAAATCGGAAATTGTACAATGAAAATAAACATTACCATATAAACCTTATTGTTTTATGAGACTTTGCTTTCATTTAATGAAAATTGAAATCTTAGAAAATATAGCTTAATACAGCTATAATGTATAGGTGAATATAGCTATATAGCTCATTATAGCTATATAGCTCAATCGTCAGAGTGTACTGGTCCCGACATTGTATCATATTTATCATCAGATTATATGACACGATGGGGTTTCTTGAAAGTTAACAGTATTACTTATGATGTTACGGGCGATAGAACATTCTGAAATATGTTATTATGTGAATAATTACCTCACTAAAACAGTCCGATTTCGCGGATCTTGATGTGCTGCTTACAATATTTAAATATTATGAAATTAGTAGACGTGTCACTAATTTAAATTCCGCTTGCACATATGTTTCAGTGTAAATTTGAAACTTGAATGTCTGCGGGGAAAAGACTCCTCGTCAAAACATTCTAAAGACTATGATCGCATTCGATTATATTGTATGTCTCTGATTTTACCTATATTGTTGAATGATTAAGCTAGAGTAATTCCGAAGGATTTTGCGCTTCGCAAACGGAAGTAGCAAGTTTAAACTTGTGTTTATGTCTGAACCTGCTCGATTGAAAGCGGCAGGTGCACTCATAGACAGGTTTAGATGACACTGAAGGTAAAATGCATATTCAACGGTACAACAGAAAGCTAAGATAAGGTAAATTTAATATTTGCAAAGCATCATGTGTGAGTTGTGTGAAATAAATTTGTAGTATCCGTCAAAACCCCACGTGTAACCACTGTAAACAATCATGTTGATAACTGATATACAGGTTGATATTCTACTGTATTCATTTGACAATGCTGCCGGTTCATTGATGAATATCTGATTACTTTATAAGCTATTGTACCGTGACACAATTCTTTTAAAAATCATAATGGTAAAGAAAATAATACGACACCCTAGTAAGCCCTGAGTATAGAATACATGGATACCACACATGCATTCATCTTAGCTATTGTATTGTTTCTTTTACGGCTTCAGTACATTCTGTAGTTTCTAACAATAATGTCCAATGAGACTGTCTGAACAACTTTGCACATGCCTGATATGAATAGACGTCTTTGAATGACAGAGCGGCACTACCATATCTGTTATCATAAACTATTTGGCCGGAGACCTTGTAGAGGGTTTGGTTTTGTGTGGACTGGCGACCTGTATAGTGTATGTAGCTGGCAGGTTAGTGTAGTAAAAATGCCTCTCATATAGCAACATTGTTAGCCTGGCAGATTTAATACTGTCGGTTGAGGTCACGCAGATCTGTGATAAACACCCAGGCTATTAAGAAGGCTATACAAATGTATACCTTGTCCTTGTGTGGCACTTGCCATACACTAACTGAACCTGAAGACAGACTCACAAACCATAAGGACCCCTTTTATATTGGACTTGCAACGACACACCTTCATCAAAGAGGTTTTTGTGAACTTAAATGCATCTTTTTGTGATGGATCCATACTATTAATTCGCTTGTTTGTGCTCAATTGAAAACACCATGTATTCACCATTCTGTAAAAAGTTTGAGCGGCATCATTTTGTAGCTGGATTTATAGATGGGGATTTATTTGGTGATAATAGATACATAGGAGAAAGTGAGTATTTGTAATTGTTAAGTTCATACACGTAGCTGTTGTATGTTTGCATGTATAGCTGCTATTATGTTCATAATTAAAAGTCAAATATTTAGAAACTAAGAGATGCATTCGACAAAGTTTAACAGGCAAAAAAAATATTGTTCGCTATATGTTATTTCCTAACCAAAACTGGCCTCATTGACTTTGTTAGAATTCCTTTCAAAGAAATTTTTAAAAAAAATGCATTTTATTTAAAAAAATTTTTTTTTTTACAATACTTACATGTATTGTATTGGATGAATTCAATGAACAAACTTGTTTCAAGTCAATTTCACTGGTAGTAAACATTTGTATTTTATTATTATAAAAGTGAAATTATTGTGGCTAAACCATTTTGTGAATAACCAACAGTCTGTGTTGTTAATCTGGTATAATTATGTATTAAGATCAATATGATTGTGCAGTGATCATGAGACAGTATAATTGTGTATTAAGACCAGTATAGTTGTGGAGTATGGCCAGTATAAATTGCATTTAGTAAGACCAATATGATTGTGTAGTAAGACCAGTAAAATAGTGTATTAAGACCTGTACAACTGTGGCATAAGACCAGAATAATTGTGCATTAAGCTAAGACCAGTATAATGATTGTAGAGTAAGACCATGAGTATAATTGTGCAGTAAGATCAGTATATTTATGCAGTAAGATCAGTATAATTGTGAAGTTAGACCAGTATAACTGTGCAGTAAGACCAGTATAATTGTGCAGTTATCAGACTAGTATAATTGTGCAGTTATCGGACTAGTATAATTGTGCAGTAACATAAGACCAGTATAATTGTGCAGTTATAGGACTAGTATAATTGTGCAGTAACATAAGACTAGTATAATTGTGCAGTAAGACCAGTATAATTATGCAGTAAAATCAGTATAATTGTGAAGTTAGACCAGTATAATTGTGCAGTAAGACCAGTATAATTATGCAGTAAAATCGGTATAATTGTGAAGTTAGACCAGTATAATTGTGCAGTAAGACCAATATAATTGTGGAGTAAGACCAGTATAATTGTATAGTAAGGCTAGAATAATAGTGCAGTAACATAAGGCCTGTATAATTGTGCAGTAAGACCAATATAATTGTGGAGTAAGACCAGTATAATTGTATAGTAAGGCCAGAATAATAGTGCAGTAACATAAGGCCTGTATAATTGTGCAGGAAGACCAGTATAAGTGTGCAGTAAGCTAAGACCAGTATAATGATTGTTGAGTAAGACCATGGGTATAATTGTGCAGTAAGACCAGTGTTATTATGCAGTAAGACCAGTATAATTGTGCAGTAAGACCAGTCTAATTGTGCAGTCATAGGACTAGTATAATTGTGCAGTAACCTAAGACTAGTATAATTGTGCAGTGAGACCAGTATAATTGTTTAGTAATACCAGTGTTATTTTTAGTAAGTCCAGTACGGTTTTGTGAAGTAGATTTGTAGTATACCTGTGTTTGTACAGGATCATTAAATATTGTATGACCTGATAATTCCAAAACACAAAAGTACTTAAGTAATTGGACACACTCCAAATTCCTCTGAAGAAGAATTGTTTATGTTGTATTATTGAATATAAACACGAAAGTCTATTAGGTACAATGTATTGATACATAATTATCTCTTACATAAAAATAAATACCAGCTATATTATCGAAAATATCTCTTTAAGTCAGTCACCCGAGTTTCAAGTCGATACATGTGTAGAAGTCACTGTTGAACTTAATACTGAGACACATGTAAAACGGGTCACTTAGTATCTGATTGGGCCTGACCTGGTGGGCAGTAGTCAAAGCAGGGATCTGATTGAGCTATTTAACGTGCGTATATATAGGTAATACACTATATGCAGTTTTCAGTGCACAGGTTGTTGATTGTAACATGATCCTCATTAGGATTGCTGTTAGGTAGTCCCCTGGGCCCGTATTCATGAAACCGTTCTCATGCTCAAGCATGGATTCTGTGCTCAAGCCAGCTTTCTTGTTACCCGCCTAAATCTTGCCAACAAACAAAAAGTCAAATGTAAATATTGAAAACAGTATTCGGCTTCAAGTTTGGTTTGGTTTAGTATTGTTTAACGTCCTATCAACAGCTATGTTTGTCGTTAATTGATGGTAGAAAAGTAAAACATTCTGTGAAATATTGTTCAAAAATATCATGAATATATTTGTAGCTGTTCATTTACAAATCCCTCCTCCTTTTTATTCTATATATGTGGTACTGCATTATAGAGTAATTAAAATAATTTAGTCTTCCTAGATGTACAGTTGCATTGGGTACCTTGATATATTTGAAACAGGGCTGTTAAATAAATGAATAGATTGATCAGTTCTTTTTACATGTGTCTCACAATTTTTTTTATGAAATGCATACCTAGAAAATATTTGTACTATAAGCCGGCCACACTTTAAAAAAAAATACAGCAATAATTAATGCCAAAGTTTTTTCATCCAAGTGCTCTACTCCGATATTGCATATTTTTTTCTGCACCGTGTGTCATTCTAATGACAAAATGAAACGCTCAGACCTCAGGTTAGATATTTGATACGCTCCATACACCAAAACTGACCTACTGCAAGACTGGGGTACATTTACTTCTGAATTTTATCAAAGAGATACCAGGTAACTAACTTAGACATTTAAAAAAGAGGCCTGTCAATTTTACTGTTATATTGCTAATGCCTATATGTGATTGACTTTTAATGATCTTTAATCAAAGGATTACTCTGAGATCACATGTATGTATGCTGGATTTTGTAACAGTTTCTAAACTAGTCATACCCGTATCATCGGCAAGGTGAGAATACCTGTGCATACATGTTGATTCTGCCATCAAGAATCCAAAAGTGCAGAGAAGAGTGTAGCTTAACAATCTAGAGCATAAATCTTTGATTTTGAAGATGAAGTTTTTGAATTAGATTATTAATTATAAGTTTAAAAATGTGCCTGTTGTAAACATTATCTTATCAGCTACATGTATATATATATATATAGTTACTTATGTGTGCTATTCCAGTACATGTATTGTATTATACAGATTTGTATCATATCTTTAGGTCTGATATATGTTATCCATTATATGGCGGAGGGGGAATCGACCAGGGATCGGGGGAATGTAGAATAAACATGTACAATCATCAAAGCTTGGTCTTGTAGAAAATAGTTCTATGTGTGTACTGTTGGCGACCAGAGATATCATTCCACTATGGTGCCTAAATTCTCGGGACCTTACATTGATTTTGATAAAGTCGGAGCGTGGCCTGGATTCAAACTGTCACTGGGGTTTATTCAATATAAAGTTAAGGGTTGGACTGAAATAAAACAGGATATAGCGTGTGGCTCTATTGCTGAATTGGAAACAATATAAATTAAAAAACAGCCACTATATTGTCTAGTGTTAGTCTAACAAAAATTATATAGAGTCCACCTGTCGACTGAAGCAGAAATATTTTAAATGTACAAATAATAAATGCATGATGTAAATATAATCATACATGTCAAATCTTATATTGTCAAGAACCAACCAGACATAGTCACAGGCTGCATGTTATTTAGATTCAATGCAATGACTTTAAAATTTGATTCGAGTTGTTCAGATAGTAGGGCCGCGCGCGCGGTGGCCAAGTGGTTAAGGGGTCTGACATCCTGCTACCACTAGTCCTCCACCAATGGGTCACGGGTTCGAGACCTACGTGGGGCAGTCGCCAGGTACTGGCCGTAGGTCGGAGGTTTTTCTCCAGGAACTCAAGCTTTCACTCACCACCAAAACCTGGCATGTCCTTAAATGACCATAATAAGCTGTTAATAATACGTAAAACACAAACAAACAAAATGTAAATGTAACTTTATGATGTCAAATTATTAAACCAATGAGACATTGTCACGGGTTGCATGTTATTTAGATTCAATATCAAAACACATTGCAATGACTTAAACATTTGATTCAAGTTGTTTAGATAACTTTTGTGTGATGAGTTTTCTCTCCATACCTAGACTTTTTTTTCTCATCAGTGTATCACTATACCCCTAGCTTTGGTTAG